CTCAATATGGAGGCCAATTACTGCTGCCCGCATGACCGTGGCATGGCAGCATCAGAGATGCAACCCTCCTCCTCCTCCTCCTTTTTTTCCTTTTCCTCTTCCTCCCCTCCTCGTTTCCTCACCCACCCCCCAACCCCCCCTTCCCTAAAAATAAATAAATAAATAAATATCACTCCCACCATCTGTGCAGAGTGACAACAACCTCTATACCCAAGCTGTACACTGTGCATACACACACATTTGGGGCAAACACACATCAAACATGACAAATCCTCCCTCATGCGCATGTGGGCTTTTATACCCAAAATCAAGTCTGTAAGGCTTCAGAGTTTTTCTCTCCTTTTTTTAATGAAAAACACAGTGAGGTCTCATACTTTCACACCTTCTGCATGTTTTTATTACTTGTAACACACAAAGACAGTTAGTCACACGCAGGGCATTCTGGGAGTATACAAACACACACTTTAACACACACACACACACACACACTGCCATTGTTCCTCAGATGCAGTGGAATTTCACCTCATGCCAGATTCATCTCTCTGCTTGCAGAGCTGGGCGTGGCGCTCTGGGTGATGGTGATGGTGGGAGGATGCAGGCAGAGAGGATAGGTGGGTGAGCGTGATGCGGTGGCGACCAAAGTCCACTGAGGTGGAGGTGACACCCAGATTTGGTAACATGCGCAGGCAGGAAAAAAAACTGGACTTATGGTATTTTGTTCTGGTGCTTTCAGGGGCGAGACAGACTAAAAGAGAAAAAAACTTTGATATCACTCTATACACACACGCACGCACACACACACACACAGTCTGGACTTTTATCACTCATCTTGTAATAGCCTACATAAATTGTTACCCTGATGTCCCATCAAATCTGACTCTCACCTCTCTCACCCTCCTTCCCTGCACTAAATGTCTCACAGCTACATGACGGATTATTCCCCTGAAAATATTCTCAAGATTAATCCCAAAATAATTAATCCCATAAATGTGCACCTAATCTGATAAATTACATTAAAACTCCCTCCAGATGGACATTTGTGTGTACTGTAGGCCCACTTTGTGTCCCTGTATTTCTGCTGTGCTGCGGTTGAAGCAGATCGTGTTGGGGGCGTTTTAAAGCCCTCAAATTGAGCTCTGCGCGGGATTATTTAATTACAGTAATTGCATGGTATTTCATAAACACTCATTCGAACAATTACGCTTGAATCGGATCCCAATTAATCGATTTTATGGGCTTTGGTTACGTCGCGTAAGCTCATTTGTCACAGATATTAGAGTGACCGTTACATTACATGATGATGACATCAGTACACGTGGAATGTGACATGTCGGCCTACCTTTGAAGTAACAAAAAAAAAGACGACCTTTGAAGTTTTTGAATTTAAATCCCTAACGGTTACAAATTTTTTGAATTAATGTACGATATTTTTTTTGAAAATAGTGATATTTTTTTTAAACACGCTTCACGTCGTTTGATTTGTTTAAAAACATCAATATTTAATGACAGCCGTATTAGTTTGTTATACTAATAAGCAGTTTTAATGAATACCTTTGAACTTTAAATAAAAGTTATCAATTAACTTACAATTTAACACATTCTTTGGAGTTTAAAAGTATTAGTCTGCTTCAGAGAAGAAAAAACTGTCAGGGTCTTTTTAACTTTTCTCCAAACCCGCGGAATAGTCCCGAGAGGTTTAATCTCCCCCCTGCAAAAGTGCGTGACCGGAAATAAAAAAGAGGTCTCTTTTGTCCGGTGCAGTGTGCGGACACTCAGCCTCCTTTAACGGTGGAGAATAATGAACAGATGCTGAGTGAATTAGGAAAGAAATACTGGGTCCCTCCCACAAGGGCCACTTTGGCAGGGGCCGCCTGGCTGCCACGTGGCGCAGCTGGCACCGGGCTCGGTTGATGGTGGTGGGCTTTTGCAGGTCTCTGGCTTTACTGATGCTCAGACATTTAGCGACTTGGCACGGGCTCCGCCATTAAACCCCTCTGCCAGCCGCCACCCCTCCTTACTTAGAAAAGTCCACCGACTCAATGAGAGGTTTGAGCCGAAAATCAGATCAGAAATGCGGCTTTTAGCCTGTCCACCGAACCCGGGATTGAGAACTTCAAACAGGCCCAGACTAATATAAACACAGAGAGATCCTAGAGCAGCCTGGAACAGACTAGATCGAGGATTTCATTAATATTTAAGGACCCAACTCTCTCCTAAAATATTAAAATGTTTATATATAGTCTATTTAAATAAGCCAACCCTGTTTTAAGCAGTCATCCACTCATACAAGTGGCTGCGTGACAGGGATTGTCCTCAGTGATCAAATGTTATTCGGTCGTCAGTGAAATTGAAAACCTTTCAAATTTCAAAATAAAACCAAATCTCACAGCTTCTTTTATTCTTTAAAAATTTGAAGTTTTTAAATATTAATATAAACAGGCCTACACTTGACCAACCTATAGCTGTATTGATGAGTAACTTTGATCAAAAAGAAAAAAATATATATATCAAATCCAAATAGATTTTTAATTTCCTATCAGTTATTGATATTTTCATGTTAGACATGTGTATTATCAGAATGCTCATTTTGTAACTGCACACACAGTGTCTTTTTTTCTTATTTTAAAGGATGCATTCACAGTTAATGAATCTTTAATATTAAATTTGCAAAAGTGATATTGGTATTTTTCTTTATATCTGAGAAGTAAAAAAAAAAAAAATGATTTTTTAAAATTAACACAATGATTGAGATAAGGTCAGGTCTCCCAAAAATATGAAAATAAAGTTTAGCTTGTATTTAAAGGATGAAAAAAAAAATCAAGTGTATGAAAGGCAGATTTTTGCTTTTACTGCCCTTGATAACCACCAAAATTGCAGCCTCTCCAATTATGACACCATGCAGGCTGTCAGCTTTCCTTCCTCTGAATTTATTTTTAGATACAGTAGAAACCATTTTGGTTTATGTATTTAATCTCGGATGAGACATGTCTGAATGTGTTTGTCCGTGTGTGTGTGTGTGTGTGTGTGTCCGTTTGGCTGACCCTGCTCCCTCCTTTCAAATCCACAGGCAGCCGGTTCACCTGTCCTACACCTGCACTTCTCTCAGTTCACATTCAGAAAGGGACATTTCAGCTAAATCAAATTAATTAAAAAAGAAAATATATCACTCAGACAGTCTAATAACACCTAGCCGTTGAATCTACTCACATCTCTTCTGGCCGTTTTTTTCACCCGGGTCAACGCTGAATGTGATGGTTTGCACCCCGTGGTGCCCGGTGCTGATTTCCCCTGGATGTCCTCAGTAACATATGGGACCCAGGGCGGAGGTCCAAACATGGAGTCTGCTCCCACTATTTGAGGAATCAACAGTGAATTGATGTAGCCTACAAAAATCCAAACCAGAGCTCTACTCTTGAAATAAAACAAAGGTTCAAGCATATGGGTTTTAATCTGGCACAATGTGTATCTAATATTTTCATATTAGACCAAGACTGTGAGTTAAATAGTTGTTTTACTATCAGCTATTTTTGAAATTAAAAAAAAATATATTTAGTAGGTACCTTTTCATTAATTTTTGATTAGTGCTGATGAATTTATATTTTTTTAAATGTCAGTATTGCAACTTGTTGAAGATGATAGTTTTATCCTCAGTCCCCAGTGAAATCTGATGTGCTCACTTTGAATCAAACTGTGCTGCTCTGATCGGGCCCCTGACTACAGTCGCTGTACTGGAACACAAATAGAGCCCTTTGATATGAAATTAAACTGTGTGTAGTTGTGTGTCGACTGCTTTTCTGTGATTGTCTGAGGCCTTGTCCATTCGCTCATCAGTAGCATTACATAGATGAAGATGTCTGAAGGCTTTGAGACAAACAACATGGTGGGAATAAAAAAAAACAAAAGGTAAAAAAAGGAGTGCTGAACTGCTTTCAATCAGACTTCTAAGTCTCTTTGTTTTTAGGAGACGATTCTAGTCTGACATAATTTTCTCTGCTAATTATTTTCAGCTCTGTAGGATTTTTTAAAATTTATTTTTTAATCTGCTTGGAGTGTATCTTTTCACACAGCTCACTCCTGACACACTCCCCCATACAAACCCTTTTACAAGAAAAATAGAAGAGCACAGTTACTAACAGGTTTAGGTTTCAGACTTCCTTCCATGAACAATTTCCATTTTGTATTCTCTTGCTGGTGTATTTATTCACTTGAATTCTTACTCAATGCTAGATAGCTTTCACCAAAATCCTCCTCTCTAAGCAAAAACCTATGCAGACTTTAAGAGGACGCGGTCTTTCTGGAAGTGTATTTTAAAATCAGATCACTTTAATTTTCAGAGCTGCATTAAATTCCAAGCTGAAGAATAAAACTAAAACAAAAATGCATTTTAGTTTAAAAAGTTTAACCGATCCAGGCATTTCAATGCTGATTCCAGTTTTTTTTTTATTGCTGATTTTTTTATGGATTTAACCTCCTTCAGTGCGGCAGCATCTTAGCGGTTAGATGTATAGAAATGTACAAAAGCTGCAGGACAATTCAACAGGCCCCGACTCAGTTTCTCATACTGTTTTTTTTTTCTTTTTAGGCCACTGACAAAATAATTTAGACCTAACATAAAGGCTGACAATAGTTAAATGCTATATTCCTGCATGCTGCTATGCATACAATTTCTTTTCTCATATCAAATCAATCCTTTTCATTCTTAGATTGACCTTTTAACTAATCAACTCTTGAAACAAGCTGAACAAAATCACTGTTAGTGTAATTCCAACGCATTAACTGTATACAAGCTACTGAAAGCCGGATTAAAAGCTTATGTTTAATTAAAATATGCATAAAAAATGTGTAATTCAACCTATTTTACATGCCCGTCAGTTCAAGTTTGCTCTTTGATTTACATAAACCTAATTTTTTAGCTGTTTTTAAAATACAGTTTAATGATAATGTCAATAGTCTAAATGTGTTATAGGCCCACACGACCCTAGAGTTAAAGTCTCTCTAATGCTCACAATAATGTTTTTCAATCATGTCAGACAATTATAAAACACTTTTTATTTCTGCTGTTGGTGTCATAACATGTTTAGGCCAGTACAGGGTTTATGTCATTTGCACTCATTCTGCATACAGGAGATTACTGGACACACTTTGACAGGAAGTACAACAGTATAGGGATGACATCAGAATACAGAAGGTAATCAGGGGACTCTCTCTGCCTCATCCTTCTTCTGCTTCCCAAACAATATACACTGTAGGATTGTCATTGTCAGGTCTGATTGTAAGGGCTCAGTTATGGAAAAAAGCATTGAGATCCTCGTAGGGGGGCGCCCTGTCGTGGTGCAAGTGCACGTCGTGGAAAGGTGGAATGTTTTCGGAGTGCGCACCTCCGCTGCGCGCGCCCGAGGGCCCAAAGGGGATGCTGTGGCCGGGCCGGGCCGTAGTCAGTCCGGAGTAATGCATAGAATAATGATAGTTCCTGTCCGCGTCAGAAGACTCCTGCTGCCTCCCGGACAGTCCTCCATTCAGGCAGACAGGCGGGCTGTGCTGGCCTTCGTAGTCCGGGCTGCTATAGTCAGGGGACGTCCCGCCCGTGGGGTACACGCCCTCGTACCCAGGTCCGTAGGAATGGCTCCGCAGGTTAATCGCTCCGGATCCGGACTGATAATGCGGGCTGGAGAGGCGGGAGCAGCGGTATGAGTATGGATGGACGGAGAAGGGGGAACTGGGCATGTGGAAGCGGGCTCCCTCTGAGCACGGCTCAGTCAGGAAGTTCCTGGTGTTGAGCTGCAGACATCCTGCCACCAGGTTGGTAGTGGGCTGGGACAGGCCTTTACACAACATCTGCACGTAGGTCACCACATCTGGACGTTTCCCGTTGCGTAAAATCTCCCCAAGAGCTAAGATGTAGTTCTTGGCCAGCCTCAGAGTCTCTATCTTGGAGAGTTTTTGCGTTTTGGAGTAGCATGGCACCACTTTGCGCAGGTTGTCCAAAGCTGAATTCAAGTCGTGCATGCGCGTGCGCTCCCTCGCGTTCGCCTTCATCCTGCGCACCTTGGAGCGCTCCACGCGCGCGGCCGTCATCTTGCGTTTCTTTGGGCCGCGCTTCTTGGGCTTGTCGCCGCTGTTTTCATCCTCGCACTCCTCTTCCTCTCCCTCGTCGTCATCGTCGTCGTCGCCGGCCATCTCGGACTCGGCTCGGCTGCTGTCTTCCTGCGCCTCGTCCAGGTCGTCATCCACCAGGCGACAGCGCTCGTGCTCGTCGTCCTTGGCCTTGCAGTCCTCGCTCTCAGTGTCCACCCAGTCGGCCGCGAGCCTCTGGACGTCCGGCAGCACCTCGCTGAACAGACGACTCAACATCGTGGCAAGCAAACTGCAAGAGAGAACAGGCGGAGGTTTAGCTGTGCTGTTTACCCACAGGTGCGCAAGAAGCTTCCCCGGACCTTAAAGATAGAGGCTCCCCCTCACCAAGAGGGGGCATGGTGTTTGTTTTAGAGAAAATTTCAAATCTGGAATTGTCTTTAATTTGAAGCACTTATTTCCCCCACATTGTTCTCCTGCTCGAGAAGACAAGAGAAAAAACAGGTCTTGATTTCTAAAGTGTGTGAATGGAAACACTGCTTTTAAAATTCTTATTTCTTTGTCCAAACCACAAAATGCCTTTACTAATTTTATGCAGTGAAAAAGGTTGAAAATATTATGGGATGTGAGGCCTCAAAGACGTGCAGATACCTCTATTCCAAAGGTCTAAGTATGGTAACTTGATCTATTTTACACTTTTTTTTATTATTAAAGACAAGAAATATTCTCAGTCAGTGGGTTATCTAAATTCCTGTAGTTGTTTTTATTGATTTATGTTATTGGTTTAATTTCAATCCCTCGGCCTGCACTTGATCCTCGGTGTGTCGATGCTGGCCTGTCCCAGCGCGTCCCCAGAGACGCATTAAGGGTGCGGGTCCCTCCGCCGTCTTATAAATCACCAACCGGAAGGAATTCCAGCACAGCCCCTAGGCCGCACACCTAAACCCACCAAACACCTGATTGAACAGGTTAGAGGATCTACTGTAGAGGTATTTATTTAAAAGATCCATCATTTAGGAAAAGGTCTGTAGCTTACAAAGGCAAATGCAGTTCTCTCTTTGGATAGCTGAGATAATTTTTGAAAGACAGTCTCTGCTGACTCATTAGGTTCATTTTGGACACCTCGCGAGACCTCAAAGGCCACAGTGTAAACGGCATGAGACATTTTTAATGTTGGACTAAACTCGGTCTGAAATAGAAACAATAAGAGTGCTTCAGAAAATGACCTTGAACATCTTTTTTTGGATATTTAAAAAGCAATTTTTTTAGGCTAATTAAACAAAAAGTCCTACTTTCAAGTAAACCTTATATTTCAATAGTTTAAAAGAAACATTTCTACATCTTTGTTACTTGAAACCTGAAGTTAAACCTTTTTGAAGAGTCTTTTATTCCAGATTTAATCATGAAATGTAAATCCTATTTAAGCAAAAATCTGTATCTTCTCACATCCTGTCAGATTTTTCCAGAATATTCTGAGATCAACTCTACAGATGGAGTCCAAGGACGTATTTTTTCCTAATCTTGTAAGCACAATGTAATTAATGCCAACCAATACCTTGTCAATTAGCCCGTGTGTGTCTATGGAGAATTCATCCCCCACCGTGTGCTCGAAAACGCACACACACACACTGACACATGCGCGTACATACACACACATATGAAGGTTTTGGGTTTTATTCAGCAGGCCTTGGATTTTCCTCTAAAATATAATGCACGACACTTTTACCGGGTAAATGATGCACAATGCACGATATGATGAGGGAAAAAAATGACAGAGTATCCTCTCAGTCTGCTCCGAGCTCTGTCTGGACAAAACCTTCAGTGAAATGTTTCAATGAAATCACCTCTGTATCGATTCATGTGTTTGATAAGAAAGAGAGAAAGAAAGAAAGAATGAAAGAAAAACGAAAAAAGGTTAAAATTTTTGTCTCATCACGTCGTTTCATGTGTAAAAATGACGCGTAATCTGAGAGGAAACGTCCCAGATTTTGATCATTATCTCCTCCTTGTGCATTAGCATTTAGACAAAAAAACGAGCACGGATCAATGTCTGATGATCAAGTATTGATTGTAAAATGTTTCACCTACCTCCGTGGTGGAGCTCAGTGACGGGGCAAAGCGGGTTTGTTTACACCATCTCTCCCCGGGTGGGCATCACATCCACACGCCCTGCATGCACGGATGCGTTTGCAGGAGGAGACGATCTATGTTTCCCCGCACCTCTCTCTCTCTCTCTCTCTCTCTCTCTCACTCTCTCACTCTGTCACTCTCTCTCTCTCTCTCTCTCGTCTTCTTCTTCTTCTTGTTCTTCTGCTGCTGCTACATCGAGCCCCCTAAACGCGCGGAGGGGATCCGTGCATGTGGCACCTCAGAGGCAGGACTGGGTGGGTTACATACCAGCTCTGATGCCAGGCCCATATGGCTGGCACGTCATTGGCAAGAGCCATCACATGAGAGCCGGTGATTGACATGCGGCCGCATTCACAGAGACTGGCTTCGCCCCGGGGGAGAGGGACTCGCCATCTGTCACCGAGCTGAAAGAGAAAATGGAATAAGGAGTGAATGGCACAAAAACGCACACTGGATTGGGGAAAAAAAGCTTCTGTAAGCCTCCATCTTTGGGAGAAACGGGGTTAATCTCATATAGAAGGTTTAGGAAAACAATCCCCTTACGAGAAATAATTATCACAATCCTATAATGATTAATTTCTGAATTATATCATTGAAAAGATAGTGGATTGTTCGAGGATTACGCACAGGATCGTGATTATGGAAGATAAGGAAAATCTCATTGATACAGACAATCAAAATAGGAAGTCATTTATTTATTGTTATTGACAATTAGAAGAGTAATTAACCCTTTTAGAAGTATTATTGTGCTAAAACGGGGATTTCTTAAAGCAGTGAGGACTGCTGCCGAACCACAAAGGGCCGGGATAAATAAGAGACCCGCCATAAAGATCAGAGTCAGGGTGCAATTGCCTAAACGAGTCAATTGAACTGAGCCAAGCGGAGCGTCTTGGTCCGAGTTGCCAGGTTGGCACAGGTGCACGTGGGCGGGCTCGTGCCAAAGGTGGCAGAGGCACAGATTGCGGAGAGGGGCCAGAAGATGGGGCAGTACAGGACAGAGAGAGAGGGAGAGGGAGAGGGAGGAACGAAGAGAGAGGGGTCTTATCATCACAATAATGTTGGTTCACAGTTAAGATGTCTTATTAATTTGTTTCTAATCAAATGTTTGAATGTTTAAATCAGGAGTTTTTTTAGACATTTTTGTCGAGCACAATCTTCTGGAGATGAAGACATAGTTTTACACCCCAACATTGTTTATTTGTGTGAACCATGACTGCTCTTTTAAATTGGACAAATTCAATGTTTTTGCCCAAAATCACTAAAAAATAGTGCGTGAAAACTGTTTCTGGAAACACACGAAGAGTTTACGAGTAATAGTGTGAAGAGAATAGAGCTGACAGTCTTAAATTTCACGTTATATTCCACTATTATTATCATCTAACAGAATAAACTGACTAAAAAGAACTGAGGATCATCCATATGGATTCCCCAGTTGAATCATTATTATCCAATGATGCCTTATCCTGTTATTTTTTACATTCTCTATTATTATCACATTATATAGTCATATACAATAGTTATCACACACTGTACTGATTCTCTTACCATAAATGTTAACTGTATTTCAAGTTTAAATATAGTTAATCAGTTCAAATCCAGATTTATCCTGCTTTATTAGCTGATATTCAAAGTGTCTCTGATTGTTTTTTAATTGTTTTTGGAAGGTGGAGTTTTAAATGAATTTGTATCCTTAGTTTAATGTCATCACTTATTTCTAAGTATTTTGCAAGTAAACAAAAATATTGTGAAATGATGCTTCTCTGTACATTATCGGCAATAACGTGGCAGAATCACGCAGGGGGTTTGAACTGTTTTTTCAGAGCTGCATGTTGCTGCCATCTAGTGGCAGAAAATAGCTAGTGCATGCAAAGGGGAAACTGAAAGCGACATTTCTCTTATTGCCAGACATTATTGAGACATGTGATCGCCATGCAAATTTAGGGTGTATTTGATCATCTGAATGGACAAATATCTAATTGGAGAAGAAAAATCCACAAAATAAGATAACCTCAATGGAAAGATAGACTAAAGTACTGCTAATATATGTACCATGTGTTGCATATTTCTAATTAGAAATATTGTATTTTGTTAAGTTTATGTCGGTAACAGGGTTGACAAGATTATGAAAACAGCCGGGAGAAAAACGTTTATAAAATCTGAAATAACACAGCCTGAGATGGCACAATATCATTTCCTGTCATTTTAAACATCCCTTAATTCCTGGCTACTTAAAAAATAACAATTAAATGTAGTGTCAATTTTAAATTTTATAAGTTGAAAGGGCATCAATTTCATGGAATGACCCGTATACAGATATGTGTTTGTTGTATAAACTTGGGGTAATGGTGCCCGAGACAGGTGACCCCAAATATGACCAAGTGTGTCCCTGGAGGGGGTTAAATGCTGCTCACTGCTGCGCTCAAGCACGTATACGGCAACCCAAACAAATCAGACCAACAAAAAGGAACACAAAAAATATTAACAAAGTTAAAGTTCCTGTTAGGAGTTTTTCTATGTGTATGAAACATAAAAATTCGTTATGAAACTTGTACAAAATGATGTACAAAACCAAACAAGACAATTAGTGACCAAACTGACCTTTTCTACTTTATAATTTTTTATGTCTGAAATCGTTGTGAGGGAGTGTAAGTGTCACAGTAAATGATACATTTGACTCTCCAAATGCAACAGAATGAGGTTTTTCTTGTCAGATGACACTATTTAAGCCTGTGAAGGAAAGCCTGCTTTGACTGTAGGGGGGTGCCAAAATTGACCCAGAGCAAAAGTTTTAATATGAGCTTTAAAATGGTTATTATAGTTATTTTCTAAAGGCCTGAAGCAATAGACGAGTAATTTCCATGTTAGAGCTGTAGGAGTAAAAGGACAAACAATTTTTAGTGAGCAGGCATGCACTTGAGTCTGACTGCATCTAAGTTTCCTACTGGTTTGAAGCATAGACTGTATATACCTCTGGTGACGGGCTGCAGTATAGGCCATAAATCCCACCTCCTACAGCAATCCCTATGGAGCTGTGGACAAACTTTAGAAATTTATATCACAGAACATACCCCCCCCCCCCCCCCCCCAACACACTTGTGATGTTGATATGTAGTCCTCTTTTTTCTGTACAGCTCCATTTTTAAAAGTTATTAGGGGTTTTATGTTTTCTATGATTGACACTTGATACAGCCTATCGGCGTTCAGGATTTGCGTAGCTCACCCGGGGGATATGCTGTTTGAGCCGAGTGTCATCCCAGCGACTTTCTGCGACTCTCCCGCTGAATGCGTACAATGCTACTGAGCAAGTGGTGGAGTGCATACAACGCTACTGCACAATGTTGGTTTCAGGAAATGAAGAAAAATCGCGAGATTACTGAGACCTTTTTTTTGCTTCAAATCCATATACAGGCCAAGTTGTCCATAGTATATACAGTCTATGGTTTAAAGACACAGATACTTAATCCAGCTGGTCCACAGAAAATGAACCTATTTGTGTGTGAAGAAATTTACTTTTTATTTTTATTTTTTATTAATTTTTTTATTTGTCTCATGTTTAATCAAGGATCATGATCAAGACGAAGCAGGAAACTGATATAGATTTTTGATTTGCAAGCTCCTGTGAGGAACTTTCAGTTTGTTGATTTTGGCACCCTCTTTGGACAGAAGGGCATTAGAGTGTAAAAACAGGGTTGTTTCTACGGCTTCTTTTCTGACACCTACCCCCTAGCACCACTTTCAGGCATTAAAATTTAAAAATACATAAATTGCCAATCTTGTCCCTTATGACTTTGCTTGCTTTTATACATCAAAAAAAGCATGAATGTAAATTTCAGTGTATTTCATAAATGTCAAAAAAACTCCTCACAGGAGCTTTAAGAAAGGGTGTAATGAAACCTAAAACATGGAGGTCAACATACTGAAAAGGCTGACTACAGTTATCATTCGGTCAGCAGGCAGAAGGGCAAAGCTAAAGTGAGCCTCAAGCCTCCTTACTTACAGTTATAAAAAGCCCTACTGTCAGTCAAATAAGCCACACCCCTACTTATGCACACTTACCACAATCCCTTAGTCTAAATTTGTTCCATTTACTGTTTTGAATATCAAGAAATGAGTTATAAGCCACAGATCAAAACTGACCAGGCTGTAAGAATGTTAATTTCTGCTGTAAAATGTGCATTTATAAACTGGTATTACATACAGTTCATGAGTATATGTTGGCAATGTGTGCATCTTCTATGGGTTTTATACGTTTATGATCCTCAAATCTCCTCCTACCAGTCATTCAATTGTTCTCATCCACGTCGCAACAGATAATCAATTTGAAATACATTGGCGCCCCTTGGTGGTAGAAAGCAAAAATCACACCATGGCAGACAGAAATGCTTGCCACATCATTGATAATAGCAGTGATGGATCACACCCCATCTTATCTGGCTATAATACTGTAATCCTGTAGATAATTCCTCTGCAGCTCAGTGCTTTTTAAGGCGTTTGAGTGATTGGTGGTAATGTTGGATGTTTTGTAGCAGAACAGAATTGGAAATATTTCCCTTACATTAGACAGCACTGAGTCCTTAAATCAACCCTTGTGTAAGGTGTGCAGCATAGTGTTGCTAAGGCTCATAACAGCTCCTTACTTGTGTTGCACATCCAAGGACAGCAGTTGAATTGAGCCGCAGATGGTCTATTTTTGAAATTCCAAGGTGGAAGATTTAATTTTCATCTACATTTTTCCTCCCCTGAAGACAGCTGGCAGAGACCCAGAGCCTCTCAGGTTCACTTGAGTACAGGATGAACCTTTGGGTGTCTCCGGGGAGCTGGGATCAAATGTGAGATCTCTCTTGATGCTCTGCTTTTTCTCCAGTCTGACTTCATGAAACCTGAGAGGAAGTGTTTGCAAAGCCGTGATGAAAATTTACAATTAGTCGAGTGACAAAAATGTGTGACACTGAATAATTCAGAATTCTGCCTTTCTCTGCTCCGTTTATTTCTCAATTGTAGCAAATTTACATTCATATAAAGCAGTGGTTTGTGTGCAAATATAACTAAGAGTGTTTATCATTTTGCTGACTTGACATCAAATACAAAACCTTTGGTAACCTGAGCCATAAACGTTCACATAACCAAACATAACCCACCCTCCTCTCTTTTTGTTTTACATTTGCATATGAAATTGTGCTCTCTTTCCTCCCCTCCAACTTACCTTTAAGCACTAACACACCAACACATCTATACACACTGCTGCCAGCACTATTCACAATGAGAGAACCTGTTGCCATGGCAATGAATTTCCCAACTGAATATACCTCCTCTATATCCACAGAACATACATGTGAAAGGTAGCCCAAGGGGAAAGAGGGTGTTTAAAGAGTTCAGGTATTTGAGGGAGAAATGGATCTCAGCTCTAAGGTCAATCTTAAGAATAAGAGGTCTGGTTGATTCAATTCATTCAATTCCTCAACTTAAAGATGAAAATGTAGTTTTATAAAACACCAACTAACATAAAAAATGGCCCCATGTGCTCTCATTCCTCACTAAAGCATACAGAGTCACGCTACAAAGTTGTGTTGTCAGTTTTGCATCCCCTGTTGATAACTCATGTCCTCGCTGATCCTTTCCTGTATGTTTTAAAGCTCCTGTGAGTAATTTTTGACTCGTGAGAAAGCAGATTAAAACAACGTTTCCCTGCTTCAACACACCTGATTCAAATGATTAGCTCGTTATTAAGCCATTACAGAGCTTGATAATGAGCTGATCATTTGAATCAGGTGTGTTGGAGCAGGGAAACATCCAAAACATGCAGGACAGTGGGCCTCGGGGACTGGACTTGAGAACCACTGATCTAGTGACATCTTTATATGTATTTAAAAATAACTTAAGCAAAAAGAACAATATAGAAATCATCAGTTTTCACTTGGATGGTCTTGTCAGTGGTGTGTTCAGAGGGATGGCAATGTGTGGCATGGACTCACCTTGAAATTTGATTAGCCCTCCCAGGTCCCGTCCCAAGAATACTTAAATATCGTTGTTTTTTCTGTCTTGCCAGCTGTGGTTAACTAATATTAAAACCACAACAGACTGCTATTGCTGTCTGTATATCTGATTATAGCACATTTTTTCTCCTTTGTTGGTACTTAAGGCTCCTGTGAGAAACTTTTGGTTTGTGCCCTGTGCATAAAGCAGTCTTTGCTCACCTTGATCCCTGAATACTTGTCTAGACTTCTGCAAAGAGTAATAAAAAAAAAGTCTCATCCTGCTGACTTTTGAAAATCAAATATAACATTTATTGTGAATATTTTATGTAGAAATGGGAAAAAAAAAACATTTTACTAGAATTTTAGATTTCCATTTCATAAGACAGGTGTTTTCAGGAAAACCATCATTAGGCAAAAACTTGGTAACATCAAATTTCCTGGCTCTTATTCAAGGTTTCTGCTGCATTTATAACAACCTCTATAACTCCTAAAACAAAGTTACTTTAATCTGAATACTTTCCTCTCACACTAGCCTAAATCCCCATTGTCAGAATCCAAGGAAAGGTTTTGGACCTGTGTGACAGTGTAGGCGTCTCAGTCCTTTCTAAGTTATTTTTGGCTCAATCTGACGGAAAATCCATTTGTTTTATTGTTGGACACCAATTAGATTTGCAGTTACCCCAAATTTCCGACGGTAAGTGAAAGCATCATGAAGCTTTGGCACGATCTCACCCACCTTCACTCCTCTACACAAACAATATAGGTTTAGGGAGAGTGAGAGAGAGAGCGCGAGAGAGAGAGCGAGAGAGAGAGAGAGAGATTTGTCAAATGCTACCCAAGAGCGCAAACAGAGCAGTGTGTGATGCCGCTGGTCACTAGCAGCTAAATCATCCCCGAATTTTTTGCCTAGTCATACAACTTTAACCGGAACAGGACTTTGATTTTGTCGGACATCTGCGCGCTTTGGCTGCGGAGGTGACTGGCAGGGTGTCATGGACCCTCTGCTGCCCGCGGACACGGAGCTGATGGACCCAGAGGCGGACAAGGATGCGAGGAGGAAGATCCAGTTCTCGGTGCCCTCCGCAGTGCCCACCCAGCTGGACCCACGACAGGTGGAGATGGTGAGGGGCAGTTCGTAGAGGGTAGTGTGTGAAGCCTACATGGATGATGAAAGTGGTGTTTGGTGGTGGTGGTGGTGCGTGTATTAGGAAGAATGAGGTCAAACTGGGGTCACGTAGCAAAACCTGTTAGAGGATCACCAGTTCTGTGTAATTTTTGTGCTGCCATTAACCAAATCTCTGTCAAAAAATGACTATTTTTAGAATCTGTGGTTTAGGTGTGCAGTTTTCATTATATTCCAGGGAGATAGATGGGATTAGCCAGGGGCGTATCCATACTTTTTAACTGGGGTGGCCCTACTGAAGTGCCAACTTATGAAAGGGGGGCACTGCTTGTGTTTATCATCCCCTTTTTCACTCGTCATATTTTCCCTTATCATTGATATTGACGTTTTGCTTATCCCTGATATCACTGATCTTGTTACACACTTTTGTGCCAAAAAAGCCAACAGTGGTGTCATTCAAAATAAGACTCAAATAGATGCACATCCAAAACACGCAGTTTAAATTACATTTATTCACCACAATACCTTATGACAGCCTTTCATAACACAAAATAAGGTCAAGTTCAACATATGCCCTGACTCAGACCGGGTCATGCCACCACACTACAGGCCACCATCTGGAGACACCTCTGTGAATGACATGGCTTAGCTGGAGGAAAAAAAAATGGTGCTGGTTATGAAAAAAACCTGGAAAATGCTTGTGTCAAACTTTCATCCGTACTTTCAAGTACACTCAAAGTTCATGCAGCTCTTTTCAGTCTTCTGAAGCATCAAGCCTTGTCACTGAGGTGGACAGACAGTTACATAAGCAGTCTAGCACGACTTTACAGAACTCTGTATTTTGATGTTGGGTATTTCTCTGTGGGCAGCGCTGGGATTAAGCTGAGCTGTGCAGCCTTGCTTTTTTGGAGCCTTTTAATAAAAAATAAAAAAAAAAAACTGATGAGGCATCTCTGCCCTTCAAAAGAAGTGCAAGGGGAAGAGAAGGAAGAGGAAGAAGAGGTGGAAGTGAGGGATAAAGTAATATTGCATATGAGATTATGTCTGAGTAATAAAGCCTGCTCCACACACCGATGAAACAAAGCAAAGGTCATATAGTGAGTCATACGGGAGAAGGAGGTGGCGCATTATGTAAAATAAAGTTATAGAGCTGTGTAGCTTTTGCTGAACCACTCAAAGCAGGTGAAACATGCTGACCAGGTAATGGAATAGTGCAGGGTGAACAGAAACGACATTGTCCTGGATGCAGACCAGCTTTAAGTCTGGCATCAACGGCTCAAAAAGGTCGTAACACTGACATAACTTTTGGCTCCAATCCCCTCAGCAAATAACTCTCTGAGCTTCCGCTTTTCAGATAAACATGCTGGTGCCTTTATTGCCCGCTGCTCCCTGGAGTGAGAGCTCTTGGAGTCCAACCTTTTCCTTTCCAGTGGAGGAGGTTTTGAGATTTCACGGTGCATCTGCTTGGACAGCTTGTTTCAGCGCGGAATGTAAAAATAAACTAATAAAGTCAACTATTCCCTACACATCTGTTGTTTACAGCCCAACTTGTAGTCTCTGGCGCTGTTTTCTCACCCTTTTATTTGCTTTTCCTAGCAGCCCCATGTGTCAACTATTCCTTCAAAAACGCTATTTAGGTTGAACCAACTCCGCTATCTTGGAACTATCTTGGAAGATCTCAAATTACAACTTCTGCTAATTACCTCCACAGCCTTCAATTATGAAGACCCTACCCCATTTAAATTTTAAACTAAACCATCATAGACTAAACCGGCGTCATGTGAGCTGAGTCTGATTCCCCTTTAAGACTCTGGCAATCTTCTTGCTCAGGACCAAGTAAGATTACAGCAAATCTTCCAGCATGGATCCAGTGAGAATCAAAGCAGCTGCACGCAAGGGTTGCAAGGTTCTTTGCATAATACGCTTTAGCATAGCATCCTCCTATAGACTCTGAAGTGATCCTGTTTGTGTTGCAGCGTCTGTATGGGATCACCTGTTGCTGCCGGTCATATTGATGTAAAATCAGCTGGCAACATGAGGAATTTTTTCAATACTTGTCATACCAGTGATCCAGCTGTGGAGATAAACAGTCACCCAGCTGCAACATGATTTTGCCTGTTTATAAGGAAGACAGCTGGCATGAAAACCCCCCACTTCCCCTTCTTTATTTCCTCTGGCACTTTGTGTAGAAACACCAGCCGCTTATATATCGCAAGTCCAACAACACCGTAAAGAAGCTCCATCATTATTACGCCTTTCATCTTATACAATGCCGTAACGGTGGTGTCATTATTGCTTTGCAGAAGCACAATGCGTAAACACAATAGGAGTATCCCTGAACACCAATGCTGTGTCTTTGCGTCACATATTGCAGATGAGGGAGCAAATATCCTGCCTTAAAGTGGAAAAACATAGCTTCTGCTTCATTTGGGGTTAGATTAAACTGTCCTGAAGTCTGAATGCTGTACAAACTAACCTGATGGATAACCAGTCTAAGACAGTGTCTTCTACTGTTGAAAGCTGATATAGCCTCTGGGTGCAACAACCAGTCCTCAGGGCTTCCTGTTACTCAGATGAGTGATGATGAACTTCTGGCTCAAGACTCCTGTTTCCATTCACTGGTCATTTTTCATCACCTGAGTAGCAACTTAAGGCCTCTTTGAGTAGTTTTTGGCTGGAAATTTAATAGACCGGGATCAATACTGTTGCCTTTTTATGGCTAACAATAGCGTACTAGACCATTATAGAGAGGATTGATCAATTTATAAAATCACTTTATTCTCTTATGAACCCTTCTGTGGGGTCAAACAAGGCAACATTACGCTACGGCAGCAACTCTTAATGGAAAATTTCCCCACCCTGGATTCATTGCAAGATGCAGATTGATCTCTTAAATGTTTTCTTGTCAGGAAACACAACAAACACACATAAAGGACTAGATTAGTGTTGAGATATCGTCCCGTTTTGTCCTCAGGAGAACCCCAAAGTTCCTCATAAAAGCTTTAAATTAGCCCCCCCAGAACCCAAGCAGCCAATACTACACAGACAATCAATGGAAACTGGACCACTTCTTTGCTTACTGAGTTTTTGTTTTAAGGACATTTTGTGCAGCTGACTCACAGCATTCCTCATTCATTTTTCTCAAGAGATTCACAAATGCATGTTTGATCTGCCACCTGTTTGGTAATCTCCTGTCCTCTTAATGGATTCTGAGGATTTGGTTAATGAATGACTTCCTTATGCTCCACCACCCAAGAGTCTGCAAAGTTGGTGTTATTCACGACTTTCATCACATAAATAGCCTTCTCATCCGGTCCTGCGAGGCATGGTCAAGGGCATGTTGTCCTTTTGTTGCCCTTGTTGCCCACGAAAGATGAGTGGTTCCTGTGTGTTTCAAGAGTACTGTGGTGTATGTGAGGGTCAAGCTAGTTCAAACATTTCCATAAACAGGCAATAAGATTAGCACTTAAATGGAGAGCATGAGCATGGAAAAAAGAGATGGGTAGAGAGATAAGAGGAAAAATTTAGGAAGGAGAGAACAAACAGAGTGTTGTGTTTTCAAGGACACGAGGCAGGAAATACGAATAACTGACAGAAGGCATGAAGAAAAAACTCACCAGCCAAGGAGAGGACTGATTAAAACCAAAGAGATTAGCTGTGGATGACTGAGGTCTGAATCAAGGGCAAGGGCAGCTAATGCGAAGAACAAATTTTCACTGCAGCATGGCCAAGAGCTCTGAACTCTACAAATCCGGCAAACTCCTATCTGCTCCTGACTATTAAAACACGACAGGGGTCTAATTTCCTGGGGGTCTAACCTCAGGATACTGTGAGCATCTAAACTGTAATTATCTGAATCTTGATCAATTTATAGGCTCCGGTTTTTGTCGCATTTGCAACAGTTGAAGACGAAGCTGCTCACTGCTGCCACATCAATTTAAAACATGAAACTCGGATACCATCCTTTGTTTGTTTCCAACTTCCCGCCTGCTTTTGAGGTGGACAAATACACAGATCATGTATAGTGAGCAGGTGGTTAAGTGAAGTGGAATCCCAACAGGATGAGATGGACCCAAACACAAAGCTGCACAAAATACTTATACAAAGAAGATTTTGAAGATTTCAAATTGATTTACTTATACAGTTAAAAAACACCCCTCTCATTCCACAGTTGATAGTGTCCCCATGGCAACAGCATGTCCATGTCAGCCAAGTTAAGGGCAGATTTACCTTTAAACTAATGCTGCATTCGAGTTACCTCGGAAGTCAGAAGTCCGCGCTGAAAATGCCGTCACACCCGAGTTCCCAGCGTCTCAGTTACCAAGTCGGAAAAAGGCAAAATCTGAGGTCTGAAACAAGATGGCTATATCTACGAAAGTTATTTTAGCGCTTGCCTTATGTTCGGACAAGGCGAGCGCTATAATAACTTTCATAGATGTAGCCATCTTGTTTCCACCTCTGATTTTGCTTTTTTGCGACCAAACTGAACTAAACTGCTGGATACTTGGGTGTGATGCTATTTTTAGCGTGGACTTCTGATTTACGAGGTAACTCAAACGCAGTATAAGTATTTACAGATTAGCTGAGATTAAAACTTCAGTTCTCTTTCAATCAGGTGCTTTTGTTTCCTTTCTCTCTGTCACTGTTTCTTCCCTTCTTTTTTAATAAATTTTTTTTATAGTTACCCAGCAAATCATCTCCATTAACGTAAGGATTTTTGCTTTCCAAATAAATTAAATTTGCCCTAAAAAAGAAAAAAAGATCTCAATATTGTTAACCGGTTTACAATGCTAACAAAAAGAAACACTTTTGCTAAGGTGTCAACAGGCGGAGGTGAAATATCCCAGACTCTTTTCTGCAGATTGATAAGATTTGACTTGGGGGATCAAGTTGTACCTTGCAACACTGTTCCACGGTGTATTGACCAATCAGCATCAAGTATTAACACAGCTGGATAATGAAGCTTTAATCTTGTAGGGGTAAGCGGTCACCTGCACCCCGCTGAAATTTAATCCCATGACACGTAATCCCAGGGTAGCAGGTAGCATACAAAAAACATTTTACCTACCATGTAATACCGAGGCTTTGCAAGTGCATATGTGTACAATATGTTCATCTGTGAGTGGTCCTCCCACTCATGTTGAAGTGGTTGCTGCAGTGGGATTGTATTTCCAGTTAGTAACCAGGTTGATAGGGTTTAATATCACACATGGGTGTATTTAATCAACTCATCTAGTTTCAGAAATCGCCTCCTGAGAATCAAAAGGTCAAATTTCCAGCTCTGCTGAGGATTATTCACAAAGTAAATTAAATCCAAGGTTTAAACAAAGCATAGGATTTACTGTATGCTTTTACCGATTGTATTTGTTGTTAAGTGGATATTTTTTTCTTCAGGAAATTGTATCCACCCAATGCTGTTATTTAATGATTAACACTTGTGTTAATGTGATGAAGTTGAGGTTGAGGAAACCATGAAGGTCATTTGAAGCATTATGCTTTTGTCCTGTGCTGCTCTTTTCTGTAACACTTCTGTAGCCTCGCTGTTTCAGTCTCATTTTGTCAGATATTTCTTTAAACTTAGAATCAGAATAGAAACAGTTCGCATGCTGTCCTTTGTTTTGATTGATGCTTGATAATGACAGTGACATTTAGGAGTGAGTAACTTGACCTTCCCGGCCATTGAAACTGAGATGTTTTCAGACAGATTTAGCCATTTGAGTAGAGATCAGTCTTCAGTGAGAGACTCTAAAAATGTCCCTGAACTTGTAAAAATAGCAGACACTACTTTATTTTTGGTTGTCCAGATACCATCTCATTTGTTTCCACATGACTCAAAGGCATGTCTTCTATTATTGTTCATTCCCTAAACAACTGAATCATTGTCGTGTGAATGTTGGAGAAGGTCACAGAGTCAATAACTCACAGTGATTAATTAAACAATCAAAATAAACCCTCATTAATACCTCACATCCACAAACCTGATTGGTACGCCCTACTTTTGGGCTGATTCAGGACAGCAGTTAATACAATCTGATGTGCTAAAGTAACACAGTGTTTCTTAGAAAGCACAGGATATCAGCCACTATGTCTGAACACCCTGACAAATGTGAAGCAAATCAGTTGCAAATCAAATCATCCAGCAGCTTCCCCGAGCTAACACAGGTATTTACAGACCTCTCAGACACGCACAACAAGGACCGGATGAAATGTTCCCTCTCGGTGCTTGACCTTCTCGCTACCATGTTAGCAAAGCACCCATAAAAGGTCACTGTGTCTGAAAAGTGCTTTCCCTGGAGTGTGCTGCTTTAACTGCACGTTCTTTTGTCTGAGTGTGCGTCAGTCAATCCCTTCTGTTTGTTAGATCATCCTCATGTTGACACATTTTTGACCCTTAATTGGATGTCTTGTAATTCATATTCAAATTTGTTCCCCCACAGAGGCGGCATATTTTAATTCCAGTGTCTCGTTGATGAATATTTATGAGTTCAGAGCACACAGCAAAGCAGAAGCAGTAAGAGTTACTCCAGAGTGAAAGCCACCCACATGTTTCATGCCTACACTATTGGCAGCCACTCATATCTCACAACAATCGTATTACCATAACATGTTACAAAATACAGAGAGTGATGAATCTGTTGTATATTTCATAACACTCTTGGTTATTGTTAGCCAGAAGAAGGTGTTTTATTATTTTTGAATAAGCAAAGGTTGGTGTTTTCTTGGACTGAATCAAAGGTGAAAACAACATAATCCAAATAGATGAAAACTGGCAGCAAAATATACTTTTGGGTATTATCAGTAAAAATATTTGATAAGTTGGACAGTCTTTGGAGATTTTATGTTAACTTTGATTTTTATGCTTCAACAGAAGTGACTGTTTTCAGTTTTAATGAGCACTATCTTGACATCAGAGTGATTTTAGACCCAAAGTTACATGCCAGCAAATTCCATTTCATTTGGGTAAGTGTTTGCTTGACTCACTGTGAGCTCTGGACATGGAGTACCTGATAATAAAAATTCAACAAATAGAGATTTTGTACAGTTTTCTGGTGCTGGATGATTTGGACCCAAAGGAGAGCTGAGACAGTTCAAGTTTAAAAGACTTAAACAATATGACAGAGAGATCAGCGAAACTGGCAAAATCACGCAAAGAGACAGGGATGAATCCGAAGTAAACCTCCCCACCCTCCCATTTAGCCAAGACAAGCCCTCTTGCATATCTGTGACCAGTCAGGAACACCATGACCCTGCAAACCAAATCATGAGCATTTTTGATATGGTAAAAAAAGATGGAGGCAAGCTCTATTGACCTGTCCAATATCCCTCATAGATGAAGGCAGGTGAAGACAGATAGCTGCAGGTCTTGTAAGCACAGCAATGGGGAATGATCCCACAAAACATGAGTTAATTTATTGGATTTGGACATGCAGCCCTTGGGACAATCCAAGAAAATAGTGCTGAGCATCCATGACGAGGGCGAGTTAGTTAATAACCAAATTGGCTACCCCAACTGGTACGTTGAAATGACTTTTAAAAAACATGATAGCACATTTGTCGGCTGAAATCACACTCAATCAAACTCATGCAATCAAACTACAATTGGTCAAAGCGTTCTACACAGGTTCCATTAAGGATAACTGGGTACAGACAAGACAGACAAAGAAATAACGTAAAAAAGAAGCCAGAACTCTCCTATCATACAAACAAACTGTACAGAGCTGTAAAAGTGACAATGTCTTCGTACATCTATCAGCCTCTTGCTTACTCATTTTGTCAATTGTACTGATATGTAATAGGTCAACCTTTAGATAACCTGTTGAGCTGAAAGAGGGCATGTTTTGGTCTACAATGGCAGAGGTGGACATGCTCATCATGTCAATATTTGGGTTCTTGCCTGGTGCTTGTTAACCGGGACAAGGACAGTTGTCCAGTTCAGTTACCAAATTTAGCAATGACAGAAACTCAACTTGTGTGCATGTAAATGTACTGAGTGTGTGTTGGGTTGCAGGACTTTGTTGCCAGTTGGCTCACCACCATCAGACCTCAAGTTTTTGGTCTTGGAAAAACAGAAAGGTTGGAAGCTTGTTGAAATAAAAGGGAGTTGAGTATTCTTTTCTTATTGTGTCACCAAGGAGTGGCTTTTACCTGATTCTTAACAAATGAAAACCATGTCGCGATCAATAAAAGAGAGCGATTCTTGAAGCAGTTCAAAAGCAGAGATGAGTTGGACAGTGTCCCTGTTCTTGACAGTGATATAATCAAGTCCCCTTTAGTCACTGTAGGTTGGCAGGGATAGTTCGCCTTGAAGGAAAACCACCCTCCATCTGGAGATGATGACAGCTAAATGATTCTTACAGCCAAGAGTCATGGATATACTGTACCTCTCTCGAGCTTAGTGCTGAGGAGCAGATAGAAAGGAAAGTTTGGCGCTTTAAGGAATGTCCACCTCATACAGGCGGTGTCGTGGAATAGAGATGATCCTGGCCTTTTTTAAGGAAAGACAACCATCCAAATAAGTAGCTGTATGAGTTACTGGCCCTCCAAAAAAGTGAATTGATTCAAAGTCCAAAGGGTTGGAAACCTTAGTAGGATCAAGAGATTTTGATGCTGAGCAGGTTTTATATGTGTATAAATGTACCACTTTTAGTCCTGAAAAGTCAAATCAAATCTGTTACGTTTAACCCTCAAAGTAGCCCAAAGGTTACACAATCAGTTCGACTGAGAAGTGGCCTTGAATGGCATCAAACCAAAGAAACAGAGTTCTCCAAATCACTAATCCCCGAAGGCAAAAGGGCCTTATGTGGTAGTAAGATTGTTCACGAGGGTTTAAGAATAAGTCGACATGCATCTTATGATAAATTTACACACTGGAGCCTCAGTGATTACCACCAAATGATGAAACATGCAATAAAATAGCAAGCAATTTTAAGTAATCCAGCTGCCGTCGATGACAAGATTTAATCCTCATTCAGGAATAATCTGGACAACAATCTTTTGAATGATGTTATATAATGATGTGCATTTTCTCATTGCATAGTTGTCAGAAGAAAATCCTCTGCAGGCAAAATGTCAGAAGCCGCACGGCTGAATGAATAAAATCCATCAGTCAGATACTCTTCACACCTTAATCCTTCTTTCTGGATGGGGCTATTTGTATAAGGGTGTTACATTTGCTCACAAATATGCCATATCTAAAAATCCACAAATAGCATTCTCTAAAACTTTTTCTGTCTTTTATCAGATACGACGCCGGAGGCCGACACCAGCCACGCTCTTCAGACTGACAGACCCTCCGTCACCTGAGGAAGACATAGGCCCTCACCAGGTAAAGAAGCCACTGTGCTACTACTGTTGTCTTGATTGTTAATCCCTAAAACTGTTAGCTGTGGCTCTCGCTGTGTGCACAGACAACAAACAGCTCTTGTATACTGTCAAAAGACATTCAGGGAATTGGAGCCAGTGTGCATCTATAGGTGCCATTTGAACAAGAGTGTATTTACAAAAATCTGTCATGTCTGCCAGTGGTGAATGTTGGAGACAATTGGGAACCCAAGAGCAGAGATTCGCTCTGACAGACTAGCAGATGCGTGAAGAAAAAAATACTTAAGACAACAGGCTTACAAGTAGACAAAAGAAACAACAGTCAGACAAACACAAGAGGTTGGCAAGGAAAAAGCATCAGGTGAAACACAGGAAGACAGCTGTTTTTCAGGTGACTCAGGTTATATCAGGTGACCAGGGTTGCAGGCAGTAATGACAAAAATGAAATCATTTGTCTTTTTCTCGTCACACATCCTCACAAAATGTCAGGGAGCTCAGCAAATAACAGAAGATGAGTTGATCAGGCTACTTTGGTGTGGAAAATCTGTATGCGTTAATAATAAACTGGCCCGCCATCATAAACTAGTGTGGCTTGATTTTAAGGACACGAGTCTGTCATGGTGGACTTCTCTTTTGTTGAGGTGGTTCAACTTAACCCAAGGCTGAAGGAGAAAATAAAGGTGTCTTTTAGCCATTGAGGGTCAAGTTGGACACAACAGAACATCATCTGCATATGAAGAGATCTATGGACACCTGTTGCTTATGAAAGTGAAAATGAAGCATCATCCTCATATGTGTCTTACAGTGGGATGGATGTTGAACAGTGTATCTGCTTAGAGGTAATAATATGATGAAAACGCCTCAGATTTCATAGTGCTTTATCAGAGACCCTCAAAGCGCTTTACAATGAACACATCATTCATTTGCTCACACAGTCACATCTAGGTGGTGGTAAACTACCTTAGTAGTCACAGCTGCTCAGGGGTAGACTGACAGAAACATGGCTGCTAGTTTGCGCCTACGGCCTCTCCGACCACCACCACACAACACTCACAATCATACACCAGAGGACACACACTGAGAGCAAGTTGGGTTAAGTGTCCTGCCCAAGGACACGACGGACAAGGTTTTGACTATAAGCCAGGCAAGGGAGGAGATATTGACAATGTACAACCAAGCAGCAAACTCTGGTCCTGAGGAATGAAACTGATGAGGACCATCTGATCATGCATGTTGTATAACTGTATTTTAGCAAAAAAATAATAATAAAAAATAACTCTGATTAAAAAGGTGCTAAAACTAGACAAACAGGTTCTTTTATGTAAGTTGAATTATCAGTCTTTTGTGCCCTTATCTTGAGAAGAAATCTTGAAAGGTCTTTTAATCATAAAAACTGACTTGACAATCAACAAAGGCAAGTGAAATTAAACAATAGCCTGTTTGCTGGTTAGGGTTAGAGTTAGGGTGAGGTCTATAAGCTAAAACAACAACCCAACTTTTTAAATGTCCTCTAGATAAATTCTGGACTAATTCTGGACCTGGAGGGGAGGAGTTTTGCAGGCATAGGAAGAAACAGACTCCTGGTCGACTTGCTGCCATACATTCACATAAGTCCGACTCAGGGATAGCTTGGATGCAGAGCACAGCTGAGCCTGAAGTCTGCATAGTGACATTTGTATTAAAGCTGCTGGGGTAGTAGAGGAATGAAGTGGACGTGCTAAAGCATATAATCTGTGACACAGCTAGACCCTCCTAGAAAGAAAGACAGATTGAAAATCACAGTTAATAAAGCAGCCATTGCTACAGCATCTCAATGCCATGCATGACCATGTATTTCTGTATTATTTACCACCAGAAAGAATAGTTTTTGTACTTTAATAATATCCAGGGATACACTTAAACATCCACTGTGCAGATACTGTGCTTTGTCTGTCCTGTAAACCATGATTTGGATGCTTTCTTGCAGTGGGTTTTAGGAGAAAATGGAGCCTTGAAAGCCAAACTGGTCCACTCGTCGACCTACCAGCCTCCCTCACTTAAAGGTAATTGTTTTCTCCCAGATACGTTTCACTATGTTTCTTTTTTTTCGACAAATGGCACAAAACGAAAGCAGTTTGCGAGACCTAATTCTGCCGTGGCAACTGCCATGTGGTCTTTATCCGTTTGGAATATGTGCCTATCCAAAAAAACACAGTGAGAGGTGTGTGTGTGTGTGTGTGTTTGTGTGTGTGTGTGAGAGTGAATGTGTGTGCAGTGTGAGATTAGGAGCAGAGACAGCTGTGAGTCTGCTCTGGATCATCCTGGATTATACGGGAGGCAAACAGCTGCAATGTGGTCTCACTCTAGCACACACACACACAACACAAACACACATATGCAAAGAGTCACACAAATAGAAAAAAAAAAACATAAAACATACATGGCTATTTCATATAAGTTGTGACTACATACATGCTGACGCTGAACCGCATCCGTCAGAGGCTCTCTCTGCACTAACAGTGACTGTTTTTTAAGGTTTATTAAGATTTGGTTTGGGATAAAATATCATTGAAAGTGTATTCATGCCATTCAGAAAGGTAGTGGCTGAGGCATTAACAGATTTAGGTTCCCTCAGAAGTGAATTGTTGTTTTTGAGTGTGTAACCACTGCTGACTCAGCGGTAAATCGTCTCTTTTAACTCCCTCCTGGTGGCAGGGCTCACAAGCATTAGGCATGACTCTATAGAAATGGTTCCTCTTGTTGTTTAAATAAAAGCATTAGTGTGTTGTATAACAAGCTCTAAACTCATCCCAAAGAGACATTATCTTTTATAAGACTTCTGGCATTTAATGAAACAATAACAACACCAGTGCATTTAACTGTCTGTCCCACTGGTAATTACACAAGACTTAACTGCCTTTCTTTAGTCTGTAAATATAAATACTAATTAAGATCACTATTACATTATCTCTTTAGCACATTTTTGAGTTAACAGAACATCAGTCTGTATGCAGATGATATTCTTAAACCTTTAATGCCTTTTGTAGCATATTTGATTTACACTTTTATGATACTTTTATCAAATCAAAATGATCAACAAATTATTAGAAAACACCTGAATACAGTCTGATAACTGATAGAAATGTCCTCTTGTGGTTTATCACTTTGCAAAAACATCTTATGTATCAAAGGAGATAGATAAATATGTTTGTTAAATTTTAAGGACATTTTGATTTTTTGGGGGGTTTTCAGTAGTAAGTAAAATAAACATTTCAGCTCCAAAAAATTTTGGATTTTCTGGCCATAATTTGTAGTTTCAGGCATTACAGCGCTAAACACAAACTATCTTTTTTTTCCCAGCAAATTCAAAATTATTTGATTTTCATGGGACATTTTCTTGTTATAAAGTATAAGCGTAAGTTCACAATTATCATAATCTGAAAGAGAAAGTGCAGTTTAAAAAGTTTTTTCAAAAAGTCATTGTAATATTTACAACTACAGAGATAAAGGTAAAAAGTTTTATGATTTTTGGGGTGACTGTAAAGAAACTCTAGTTTAAAATGTTATTTAAAGGCTGTTGTTAGGAGCTTTGGTCCTCATTGATTTTGGCGCCCTCTGTCATCAAAGCTGTAGGTCCCCTCTCTTTGCGGTTCATTCCTTGTACATATTGAAGTATTTTGACATGACTCATTTCTAATCTTACTATCTTTTGACCATCAAAAAAATGCTTGCTATGAACGGTTTCTGCAGGATAGTGGTACTGACTTCCTCAGACACTCTTGGCAATAGTTTCAAGCACTTATAATCACTGTTAGCAAGTTATAATAGTCTTGTTTTCTTTTGTAGATCACACAGAAGCATAAATCTTTTTCATAGCGAACTAAAAACTCCTAATTGAAGCTTCAAAGAACAATAAAAACAATAGAAAATCTGAAAATGGTAATGAACCTAATGAGAATGATAACCCGGTCTAACTTTGGCTCATGTGGAGCTGCAAACTCAAAACTCAGCCAGTGTTTTTATCCTGTCTTGTCTTGATTCAAGCCACATCAGCTTGTCCCATTTTCTTGGCAAAAATTAGACCTAAATTGCTTGTAATGTGAGCAGTGGGCAGCATGGGGGTGCAGTGATTAGTGCTTTTGTCTCACAGCATAAAAACCCCTGGTTCTGGTCCCTGGCCAAGTGGGAGCCTTTCTTGTGGAACTTGCACGTTCTTCCTTGGCACGTATGGTTTCTATCTGGATATTCTGCCCACAAGGAAAGAGGGACATTAATATTAAGTGTTACCAAAAAATATACTTAATTTCCTCAAATGGAGATGTTCTTATTTCAATGAATTTGAAATATAAATTCTCTTGTTAATTTAAGCAGCTCAGGAGTCTTGTAGTTTTCTCAGGAGACCAAAACAAAAGCCTGGACAGAAAATGGAGTCAAAATATGAAGATGATCATTTTGTTTGACTACAGTAATGTGTCATTGAAACTAAATAAAAAACAAACTAAATCAGTTTCCACCATCTTCCTGTCTGTACATTCATCTTCTGTTTGTAAGCCGGTAACCCGACAATTCTCCTGTCCCCTGTATGTATCTGTCTACTGTATGTTTCTTGATGAACTGTAAATTGGGAATTTCCCCTTGTGGGATTAATAAAGGATTATCTTATTTTATCTTAATGAAGCAAACTGGTCCTTTATACTTTTTTTTCTGATTTGTCTCTCTAGCTGTCCAAAGGATGGCCCTAGCCCACCTGTCCTCCCTCGACATGTCCTCTGTGGACAAGGATGATCCCTCTTCAGGAGAGGATGAGGAGGAGCATGAGAAGGAGAGTCAGCAGACAGATCCAGTCACAGGTGGGTTCCTCTAACACTTTTTTGTAAAGCTCCTCTGATGGTTCGAGACAAAGGCATTACTCACAGTTTAAAAAAAAATCCCTTTCTGGTTAGATCAAAGAGAAGAAAGTGAACCACTCAGAGGTCAGCAATCTCCACCAGACAGTTTGACAGGGTGTGATCATCTCAGCGCCCACAGCGGAGATGAAGAGGAGGCCAAAGAAAGAGGGGAAGAAAAGGGCGAATGACAAAAGAAGAAGAAGGCTTACATGGAGACAGGACTCAAGCGAGGACCAGTATTGCATAACACACGTATGGGCCATGCGTGTGCATGCATGGGTGTACATATGAATGTATTTGTTTGGGTTTGTGGGTGTGTGCATGCATGTGACAAAAGAGTTCAGTGAGCGTATGAGAGGAGGAGGAGGAGGAACAGACGGACATTCAGGAAGGTCAGAATCTTAATGAGCAGGTACAAGGAAAAGTTTAATCTGAGACTTGAAAAGAAAATCACGTCTTGGCAAGCTGAAGGAAACAAGGCCAAATTCCAATCAGCCAAGGACACTGCACATATAAAACCACAGCTGCCAAGAACTGTGGCACTTTTTTTTTTCAAGTGAGGGGCAGTCTTTCTGTTTGTAAAGTCTGAAAGTTTTTAACAGAATTTTTGTTCTGTGTTTATACATGCAGAGTCAGAGTTTAAGTTTCCTTTATTTACACCATGAGGAGTGAGGGATGTGTCATGATACAGGTGCTGAAGAACATTTACAGCAGATAGCTGAAGGTAAGACTTCCAGTTCATAGACATATAGCAGATAGACTGTTTCTGGTGACACGCTCCATCTTATACTTGTATCAAAACTTGACTCTAATGATCAAAATTAAAGGTATTTTAGGACCCTGATAAGTCTGTTTTTAGAAATGGACCATTTAGTTTGAGCAGAAATTGTTGGTTCTTACAGTATATAATGCAAATATAATACAGAGTTACATGATAAGGTACAGTTTGATAGATATAGTGGTTGCAATATTGTAATTTAATCCATACAGCAATCAAGCAACTCTTTCAGTTTACTTCCCTTCACTTTATACTACACATGTTTTCATGCAAGGTCAGGGAAACCATGGCAACAGGAGACCAGATGAAATCATATCAGTCGGATCAAACTAATCATGATGTTGCAGCACGATGTTCATGGTTTGATTTGACCAACACAGTGATCAGCTAAAATAGTATACTTAAGAATATGGTTGTTTAGAGGGGGAGCAGAGAGGACTATTTTTCTCAGAAACAGTATATACAGTATATACATGTATGATAAGAGTGAGCATTCATTCTTGATCTTGTATATAACAGATGTTTTGTGTCGGTTGCTAATAAAAGTGATATAACGGGCATTTAGTGTTGGTGTGGTCTTGTCTTGGTTGGATTAATTGATGAGAACGCACAATGATCCAATCGTTTCTATTATTTGCAACAGAACAGCTTTTTTAAGCACGCCGCTTCCCACAGTGATCAACAAACCCACAGAAATAATTCACGTATGTTTCAGCCCATTGCTGCTGTTTGTGAGGGAAGCCAAAATGGCAAAACACTGATGCCCAGTGCTCATTTCCTCCAATTACATAATCAGTCTTGCATTAGCATCTGAAACGCTGATCTAAAATTACATAAATTTTTTGCCATGGCAACCAGAAATAGAGTAATATGATGTTGAAAATTGCTTTTGGAGCATTTCTAATCACGTTATCACCTATATCTTTAAATATAAGCTCATAAACTTTAATTTGTAGCTTATTCGTTGCTTTATTAACCTGTTGTTGACATTCTGAGAAAAGAAAACCTGCAATCAGCATTGCTTTTTTTTATTTGTAATATCACAAACTACAAAACACATCAGGTAACACATCATCCCTCTACTGGACAACAGTTTACTGACAAGAAGTGTACTAAAATATACAGTTTCACAAATGCTATGATATTTGATAAATGTTATGATCAGACATGATTTTCTGAAAACAAACAATAGAGGTGTTACATTCTTGATGCTGTAGTTGCAGAGTTTGAACTGCAGGTGGCAATGTAGGATCACATTTCTCAAAATGCAAATGGGTTTCAGTAACCAAAAGGGCAATTTTATACCCTTCTATTTTGTATAAATAAATAGATAAATAAAATGGATTTAAGGGAACGTTTCATTCATATGTTTGAGTGTGTTTGAATATTTGTAAAATAATGAGCACACCAGGGTAACCTCCAACTCAAAACAAGGATGAAATGAGTAAACTCATGGGTATCATTAAATCACGGATTGTTTTCCTAAGCTGAAACACAAAATTACCTCTGCTGAACCCTCATTTTAATCAGTAATATTTTAGTTTGGAGATTTAATAAATCATTCTTAAGTTTAATACCCTTTATCAACCATCTCCCACTTTCCTCCACTTGAACTTTTAATCTTTCCTTGCCTTCACAAAGAACACCCCACTCACATCATCCACCCCCACCCTCATGTCCTGGGGCAGTGTGTAAACTTCCAGCCTGATCAGGGTGTAACCGTTTTCACTCAGACTAGCACAGACCTGGGCCTCGTTCAGCGGGACTACAGGGATCTTAACCCCAGGCCCACCAAAGTAGTAACTCTCTCCCAGGGCCCCAATAAGCAGCAGGTGGCCACTGGGCCGCAGGAGCTTCCCAATGTGACCCAGGGCCCGGTTGAAGGCAGGCAGGTCAGGGCTGACGCTCTCTAAGCAGAAGCAGGAGACGAGACAGTCGGCCCCTTCAGAGGGAAGGATGTCGCTGGCTAGAGGCTGAGGGCGGTGCACGTCAATGGGGAGGATGTCAGTGATGGCCTGCCTTAGTTTGGCAGCTTTCTCAGTCCATGCTGAGGGCCTGGAGGAGACATATGCAGTCACCAACTTATGATGCAAAGTTGTAATATTTGAGTGTGAATTAGTTATAAATAAGGGGCCCAGCTTTAGGGAAGGCAAGATGGTTTGATTTTTGCTGTGGCACCACCATGTGACAAGCTTTGGCTTTGCGCATAATGTTTCAATAGACGCTAGAGAAATTTCCAAGCATCCAAAAAGTGTAAATCTATCAATAATCCCCTTCAATCTGAACTATGTGCTTTGTGTTTTGGATCGCATAGCTTATAAACACGGGTAAAAAGTTGTCTTGCTTACCATTAGCATGTTGGTATTAACCTTATTGCATTGCTACCCTTAGTAGGGTTGCAAGCAAACATTAGCACTGATCTTACAACAAAACAGAAGTGTCCCATTAGCCATAGTTCATATGCTAAAATAAGACAACAGCATGGATAATATGAATCTGGTTACTATCAGCATGCTGGTATCACTACTTGCTTTTCTGGTAGGGGAGAGTGGGGTAAGTTGAGCCACCCTCTGTTGTTTGGAAATAGTAAAAGAAATTGATCATGTGACCAAATATTTAGGAGATGGGCATTAATTCATACGGATACGGCTCAACTTACCCCACTCCTATGGTCAACTTACCCCATACAAGGGGTAAGTTGACCATAGGAGACCACTTTTTTTGTCATGCTATAATATCAAGACAGTTCTGTTTACACTCATTCTGTTGGTTTGTAGGGATGCACAACATCTTGAAATATATGCAGATACACTAGTTAGAGACAAAACTACGGTTGCCTTGATGTAGTGATCCGAAATACGAAAAATGGCTCATCTTACCCCACTCTCCCCTACTGGCAGTTTCTCTAGCAAAACTGTTGCACTGAATTTATACAGTAGTTCCCCATAAACTGATGCTAATTGCTATTACCTTGCTAGTTGTCGATATGTTGATATTACTCGCAGCATGCTTGCATTATCGCTGCTCGTAGGTTCACTTGCAAAATGCATCAAATTTAAGCTCAACTCCCGAGTCCCACTGGCATGGCTGAATTTATACACTTCAAACTTGACATAAAGGTTGTTTCCAAAATTGTCCTTGTGTCCCCTCTTATCAAATGAATGGTTTTCCCAAATCACTGAATTAAGTCACAGTGCACTCATTATTCATGAAAACCAGTATAAAACATAAGATTTGATGATTCTCTAAAGAAAATGACTGATCCATTCTCAAGATTGTGAAACCAATTATAAGGGGAAAATGGTGTCTCTGCAAAGAAAGTGAAAGACAAGAAAGAAACTCAAAATTGCCATTAAAAAAGTATCTTTTCAAAGTCTTTCATAAGATAGACAAATTGTTTCCTCTGGAGGGCTTTATGTTTCACAATAGATTACAAATATTTAAAGTATCTCAAATTTCAGACTGACTTTGATGGATGTGTTCTTACCTTCGTCCCTCTAGTTTGCAGACATGCTGCAGATAGGGTGTCCAGTCCAGACTGCAGCTTCCCTCATCCTGAAGCCAGTGCCTCAGCTCCTGCCTGTTAACCTCCAGGAAGTCTGTGAGGAGGACTTGGTTGAAAACCTCACAGCCACTGAGCACCTGGTAGAGGGTTGGACCTGAGCCTATGTCCACCAGCAGCTCACCACTCACATCACCTATAAGGGAGGGGTTGACTGATTAGTTTGGCATAGTGCATAGAGTTTTAATGAGCAATCACCTCGTCTCCTTACCTTCATTGAAAGCTCTGTGCAGACACTCCAGTTTCCATGGAACAATGCTGTCCTTCCTCTCAAAATCTGCCCGTGGTGGCGTGTAGTTATACTGAAGATACGCTGCAGGATCAAATCTCTGGTAGCAAGCTGCCATGGCTGCTACTCCTGTTTCTGTTCCTTTGTCTCCCATCCTTAGGACTCTACCTGAACCTCTGTTTGGTGATCAGCCTTCAGGTGGAGGTGCCACCAGATCTTTGGTCTTATATACTTGTACATCTGGATCATTATGTCTGTGCGGCTGTGCTCGGGGCTGCTTTGAGCTACACAGACAGAGATAGCATCCTGGTTTTAGGCCCATGTCGCTGCCTGATAGCATTTGTTCTTACCGCGTTCCCAGCCCCAAGGCACTGATACCATCAGATCAGGGGGCTTCCTCCAACACTAGACCCACTAATGGACTTCTCACATGGCTTTCAGGTCTTCCACCTGCCTCTCAGAGCCCCTCCATATCTCCACAATCATTCCACGGGGCTTTTTACATGCAAACAATAGAGCAGGCTTCTCCTAGGCAACCTAGTTCAAATGGAACAGATCTGTCGCGAAGAAGAAAACAGGTTTATCTCCGTCTCTGTTTCAAATTTTACTTTGGTGATAGTTATATTAAGTGGCAAAGAGATGGGAAGAGATGAGTCATTGCAAGAAAAAGGAAAGGCCAAGCTAATATGGTGATATTAGATGATTTAAGCCAAAGAGGCAGGGACAAACCATCATCATTTGGTGTACTATGTAGGAAAACATTAATCTCAGTTGTTTGGCCCCATGTGAACACTGCAAAAACAGCCCTACTGGAAAGAAGCAAAATATTCTTATATTCAAACAAATAATCTTGTGTCAAGCAAAATTTTGACTTTGTAGTTATCATGTAATTACCAGATAATTTCATGTTGTTACTAGGTAATTACCTGTTAATTACCTGGTAATAACTGTACCGTAAAAGAAAGGGTTACCCAAATTTCTTGGCCCTGACAGACTCAAATGAAACTTAAAACTCGACAGAAAATCTTATATTAATCTAATTTATTCTACAGCAAGCAATGAAAAATGAAGATGAAGTTACTTAAAATTAGAATTTTATTCTCTTGAATAAACTTCAAGAAAATATTCCTTAATCTAGGATTATTAATGAGCATGACAGTTCAAATAAGACACAATTTCTTAGAACAGCATAGCAAATATAAGTGATGTTGTCTTAAATCAAGATACCTAAACATTCTCATTAAATATATATTTTTTATTCCACAAGCAAGCATGTGGAAAGCAAGCATGTTCTTTGTTGTTTTGCAGTTGTCATCTGGTCATTGTATTCTGTTGTGTGTTGTACAGACTAGCCTACTGACATCTTTTTATGTCAGATAATATATGAGGTGGCAGATTCTGTCAGGTTCAGATGACATGCAGTGGAAATCTTATTTTTAAAAAAATCAACTGTTCTTGTTTTGTAGCATTCTCAAAATGTACAGATGTCTTACTCTTAAAATGAGACGAATGATCTTGTTACTCTGCTGGATTTTATTGTAAAACATTCGTCTACTCTATTTCTGGTTCATTCTATCTCAAAATTGGCTGGAATATCTTTTAAAAAAAAAAGGTTGGCCATTTCTCATAAAATTAGATAATTTTCCTAATACCAAACATGCTTGAGAAGATTAATATTCTTTTTGTACAAAAAAACCCCGACTTATTTCCTTAATACAAGGCTGTTTTCCTTTCTTGAAATTCCTTTTTTGTGATGAAGAATTCATCCCTGCATACACAAGTGTTATTTTTATGAAAATATCGTTCTGCTTTATTTTGAATATTCAATTTACAAATACTAATGGATCTTTTGAGAGAAAAAAATATAAAAAGCTGAGTCAGCAGACTGCTGTTAATGGCCCCTTATCGAAAAGTTAAAGAAATGATCATTTTTCTCTCCATTTTCCTAGTTTGTTTGAGCAGATCATTTAGAGGTGTTAGTATTAGATTCTGTCTGTTTTATTGCCTGCTAAAAATTCTCATGGGAGCTTTAAGTCAATCAAAATTTCTATATGTGAAAGTGCTTACAGTCGGGACCTTGTCTATTAAGAGGGTTCATAACCCTGACCTTTTTTTACTCCTTATTTTATATTTCTTTAATATTTTGTTACTCCTTACTTTTCACATGTGAATCCAGACAGGTTTATGCACATCAGCCTTCCACATGAATTTACCATCACACGTGACTTTTCTTTCAGTTTGAGCTTACTAAAAATGTCTTAATCAACAAACTAATCCCATCACTCCACTACAGTATTATTGTCATTCTGTGCCAAAGACTGTCACCACTTTTATTTATTGCTCCGCTGAAGTGGCTCGCTAAATTTGAAACGAATGACAACAGTGGCCAGCTGACCAAACACTGAGCTTCATCCCTCTGATTGAATTAATTTTCTGTCTATTCCCAGCGTGGCACAAAGCAGCAGCTGAACCAATGTGGAGCACAGCCATGTAGTAATCAAACGCACTCTCCCCGGGAGTCTCTTAACACCTCGTTCATCCCTGGCAGCTGAACCACAATCCCGCCCCACACACATACACACACACTCACACCACATTTTGACCCTCTTTAGACATCCAAAATATGATAGTATCCAGTAGAGACAGGGTATTTGGGCAGTAGAAGTCCACCAGAGTTCTCTGTGGTTAAATTGAGGATATTTAGAGATTATAATCAGAGTCAGATTAAACAGGAAGCAGTCAAGAACTTTCTTTTCCAAGAGATTGTTTGCTCAAAGCATACTTAATTCTCTTTGGCATTACTTTTGAGTCTGCAAACATTCATTTGTTTTCTTTTTTTTTAGACAGAAATATGATCATAAAGGACTGTGAAGCTGCTCTAGTTTGCAAGCACAGCTTAAGAAATGAAGCAACACACAATCTAGAGACAAAAGTATGATTCAAAAATTTATTTTCCATCTATCTTTGTTTCTCCATCTATTAAACAAAGCAAGAAAAACTTGATTACAGTTACATTTTCAATAGTCACGGTAAAATACAAATTATACTATTACAATCCACAAGATTTCATGCACAATCTATCTCTCAGCTGAACATATTTCAACAACAAATGAGTATTAAAGGCATTTCACAGTAATCTGATCTATCTGACTAGTTTTAGACACATGTTGAAGGTTAGTATGGATCAAATTCATCGTTAGTATTAAAGTACTAGTTCTTGAAATGGAAACAAAAGGTGCCATAACACATACAAATTTTTGTCACACACAAAAACTATCACAGATAAGGTACAAAAAAAGTTGCCCTCGCTAAAAGCACATTTTCATTTGTCAAAAAACTTTGAGAGAATAAAATTCAGCCGAGGAACCTCTGCAACTTTGTCATCTTCACCACACTCTTCCTCCCACTCATCTCCAGCCCACTGCTCCTTGGCTTCATGATCACACAGTAGTCTTCACTCCGACCTGGATCTTGTTTTACCTTTGACCCCGTCATGTCAGAGGGGTCAGATGTTGGCTGATTGGGTTGACTAGTCAAGTGAGTTTTGGAGTGTGTGTTATTCTTGCTGATGGCCCCTGACAGGAATCGCTGCAGGAGTTTTCTGGCTTCTCTGTGTTTCACTGAGTGATCTGCCTCCATTACTTCCAGCCTGTTCGAGTCAGGAGACAAACAGACACACTGATGTTCCTTCCTTTTATTGTTATGATATTTGAGCCTGTTGATGCGGAGGTAGCCATCACTCACCTGTGATGCTGTGATGTAACTCCAGTAAGGCTGTGCCAGTGAGCCGCGTAGCTCTGTCCTCTCTGCCAGTCCTCCTCCAGGACGCTGCAGTCCAGCTTGGCTCTACCTGGACCACCCACACTGCACATCACTGATGCCCCCAGACCACCAAACAGCAATCCTGTCAGAAAGCCACACTTTTATTTATGCCCAATTTTAATGTTTTCACACAACAAAAAGAACTGAAAAAGAACTGTGACTGGAAGGCGCACAAATTGCGTAACGGCTGATATTACTGTTATAAAAACATAGAGTGAAACCATCTTACAGATAGTCTGTATGCTTTAAAGAAAAAAAAAAGGTTATTATCAAAAAGTTGGTCCAACTTACTTTTCCCAATCTGGATTCTTCTCTCCTCCGCTCAATATTAATATATTTTATTTTCCAAGTTAGCTCTGGCAAACTCTCTCTCAAAAGTCTGTCTCTGTCAAAACTTTCACTCTGATAAATTTTGTTCTCCAGCCCCTCTGATCCTCTCTGCTCGTCTTGATTGGATAACTGATCAGCTTCACTTTGAGGGTCCTGTATTAGAGGGGTTTCATGGCTTTGTATCCGCAGCTATTTTAGTGAGGCTCTGCACCATGGGACGTGCTGTTTTTAGAAGCGAGGCACATGTTGCCATTTTTGAAACGGAGATAATGAGTTGAGCCACGATGACAGAGACGAACAATGGCTACATGACCACATAAAAGCTAGGGGTCAGACTTTTAAATCACAAAAAATGTTGTTTTCAGACAGGAGACACCCTTTTGAAATTACAGATAAGGAAAAGGGTTTGTTCAGGGGTGTTTGGTGACTCCAAACTGAAAAATATTGAATCTGTTTCTCAATACTATAGGTGTTAGGTCTACATTTACACTTAATCTCACTTTATGAGATAGGACAGCTGATGACACACAGGAAATGTGGAAAGTAGAGAGTGGAACAAAAGGTTGGTGGGGCCAGGAGTCAAACATGTGACCACTATATTGAAGCTTATAGCCTTTATAAGTGGAGAGCTGAGTCTGCTTGGCCAGCGGCACTGTGCACATTTACACTTTAAACCATCAAATCTCAAGAAAGACACAAACCAATAATTTAACAAAACACTTGCTGTCTTGTGGCGGCCAGTGTGCTGTTTGTAACAACCCCATTCCCTCTAAATCAAGCTTGCTGTAACTTCATTGTTCTTATGGTGAGCAAGGACCAGTGGATTTAAAAACAAGCTTTGTACACACTCTTAAAAATCTTATCACATAAAAATATATTCACACAGACATTAGTGTAGCAGAGGCTAGCCTAGTTGCATGATTATGCTGGTAAAATTTTGCCTCAGAGAAAATTATGCATCCAAAGTGACAACCTTTCATTCAGGTTATAATTTGTACGATTTAATTATTTTGACCTTATGGAAAGATGTCTAGATCTACATAAATCTGCATGGCTGACCAAAAGTTCTACTTGTCCCATGTCCCAAGGGTTTCCAGACAAAACAGATGTACTTTTTCACTCTGTGCATGCCAGGATTTCTCTACCTTCAATGAGGTAAATTGAAGTTGTTTTGTTTTGTGTTTTTGCAACTCTGAAGATGTGATTTTTGAACATCTGATACTAAATCAAGCTCTTGACAAAAGACCTGAAAGTATTATCATTATTTCATAATTAAATCATAATTTGTTATTATCAGGAAAGTGTTTACATATATTTAATGAATTCATGTCCCCTTTGGGCTTTTGTCCGGACAGTCCATGACAACAGAGCTCATCAACTCTATGCAATATCAAGTCCTCTAGAAAAACCCTCAATTTACACAAAAACGTATATTTAAACAGTCCTCCTTCAGAAAGCTTACTATTGTTTCAATCTTTGGTCAAGAGGATAGAAAATGTCACTGGGAAACAAACCCAGACAGCCCTTTACATGCTACCTGATACTCGATTTCCTTTCAACTTATCTCTGTTGACTTAAAGTCTTGAGCAAGACTTCATCGGCATTCCCATGATCTGTTTATCTCCTGGTTTTTAAGGTTGTAGTACTGTACTCCTAGTGATTCCAGTCTGTTCAAAGAACAAATAGGATTTTACTGTTTGTTAGATAGTGAAATGGTAAATTTGTCTTTTTCATATTAGATGTCCCTGCAGTTTGATAATGCTTTACTCGTTTTGTTCACATTACAGATTAATGCGGGGATTACTAGTAATCATCACTGCTTAAGTAAAAAAAAATGAAAGTCGGTATTTTGACCTTTTCAAAAGGACTGAAATGGTCAGACCTGCAGTTAGCTGAGGATACACACACACACAGATATAGTTAGTGGATTAGTTGAGCCACAGGATGAGTAAGGTCAGTTCCTTCCCCTGAGTCAGATGGACGGATAAAAGAGCGAGGAGGAGGAGGAAAAACACAGAAGAACAGATAAAGGGCAAGAGCAGACAACAGAGTAAACAACAGGACAGATATAATGAAATAATACACATTTAGCTAGAGCTACAGGAGCCAATTTTGTTATCTATGGTCCTGGGGGCAGTGGGAGTCCAACAGTGTCAGTCAACTCGGCCGTGGGTTACCTTTTATTTTGTCACAGCTGGACAGGGCAGGTACAGACAACTTTTGTCATTAGAGCGCAACTGTGTTTTTTTTTCCAATAAGGTCCAACTAAAAGATAAAGGGGTACGTCTAAATGGAAGTTACAGTTGGAATGGATAGATCCTAACACTTTATTGTATTCCTATTAAATTTTAGATTCAGATTTGATAAACACATGCTAATCTTATCATGCATGTTAGTTTTCATAGACTGAAAAAGTTAAATGACTAAAAGTGATATAGAACTGTGATTTATTTATTTCTGATCATTTACAACAAAGTCAGAATTTATAATGGTCTAACTGAACATAAACTTAGATCTCTTATTGTTTTCTAACAGTATATTTTTGAAGTTATATCACTACAAGCACAGGGTATCCATTTAGTTCCTAGGGCTCAAATGTCACTACAGGACCCCTCCTCATTTCTGGTCTTTAAACCTTAGGATTGGTAAAACATTTCTGTTGAAATTTTTTAATTCAGTTTTGATTCATATAGGTAATAACAGCTGACAACCTCATACACAATACAAAATACACCCACAATAATAATAATAATAATAATAATAATAATAATAATAATAATAATAATAATAATAATAATAATAATAATAATAATAATAATAAAAAGGGGGTGAGTGTTGGGTATAAGGTTGTCTGCTTTGTTTTTGTTGTCTCAAAATGAATAATAAAAAAGAAAGTTAAAAAATAATAAGAACAACTAAGTTATGTCTATGGTCAACCACTAAAATATATAACATATAAAAAAACCACGATTAAATTAACAATTGCTGTAAAATTATGAATTTCTTCAAAGGTAGTTGTAGAGTTTTTCAGTTCAAAGGTTGAGTTTTATTTTGAAACGTTTTAACTGAAACGACTTTTCCGTTCCTCTTCCGTATGTTGCCGGCCGGCTAGACGTCACTTCCTGCTATTCAGCGCCAATTTACAGGACTTGTTTTGTCGGCAGGAAACATTTAAATTTGCAGTCAGCGTGACTAATCGAGAAAAAAACTGTACTTTCGCAAATTTTAATAAACGGAGCTTTCCTAAAACGCGGCGTATTAACGTCAGTGAGACGCTACGGTTACTCTGCCTGCAAACTGGTCTGACAGTTTCATCAGCAGCTCGTGCAGTTAGGGGAGGAGTCGTGCACGTGGAGGGCCCACCTCTGTTAAATTGTGTGTTTGGTAAATGAAAGAAAAAAACACGTCCAAGAAGATGTGCAAGACACAATAAAAGACGTTTTACAAGGAAGATACACACACGAAGAGTTAAACTGGGACTTAACGAGGCCGAGTAAGTACAAACTCTCTTTAACTACAACCATACTGAGAAACAGCAGAATATTTGACTGTACATTATCAAACATGAGGAGTTTTTTTTGTTGACATTTTAATATTGACCCACACTGTCTCATTTAAAAGTTAAAGGTTTTGTTTTAAAAGCTGATGTTGTGTTTATCTCACTCTTTGTGTCTCTCTTTGTTAAATTTAAGATATTAAAGTGGACATGCTGCTGCAGAGGCTTTCAGTCTGCTTGAGGACATCTCAGGATATCCAGAGACACGTATGCCGGTTACTCACGAGACCACTGACACAAGGTAAGTAATAATGAAGTGCAACACTGTGATGCTGTATGTGTCCCATAGAAACACTAAATAGGTTATACCTATTTTAAAAGGTTACTAAATAGGTTTTGTATAAAGCAGCCCGAGTTAAAGCTGAGCAACAAGTCTTAAACTACAAAAAAGGAAGATTAACAAAACTTTTAACTATGTTGTTATGGGGTGTATTTTTTTAGTTTTGAGTTTTCAAACATGCATGCAGAAGTAGACTGTTTTTGTTGGTTTGTTTGTGTTGGTGTATACAGTATGTGCCACTATTTCATAAGATTTTGTTTTGATAGATCAGCTGACAAAGTACCAGTGATAAAACATTAGTCAGTTACAAGCCAGAAATTGACCATATTTTTTAGATTTTTGTAAGTTTTTTAACAAGCAGCAATGCCAAACCTTTGCTATGCTCCTTCATATGAATGCAGATTTATAGATTTTATTTTCATTTGCAAAAAATAGCAATAAGTGCACAGAGCAATTGGATCGACCTATCTGAGAATATACATTGCAACTGTGACAGTTTTCTTTTTGCCTACAGGGAGTTTTCTGACCCTCTCTAGTGTGTAAAGATTTCATGGTTTTCCCCCCTTTCTCTCTCTCTCTCTCTTTCCATGTCTGTTCCTGCTTGTCTCTCTCATGCGCCTCATTGCTCCAGAGAGATGTGTAATGTCAGCACAGGCCTTTCTGCCTGCACTGCTGATGTGGCACTTTGAAAGCTGTGATTATCTGTTTCCCTGGTTACAGATGGCTCAACTCTATTTGTTTCAGCCATGTAATCAATGAATCGAAAAGCCCAGCAAAACATGCCTGTTTGCACGGTTATGCAATGTTTACATTGTTTCCTGTGGAAGTGTATAAACTAATACGTCAATACATTTATAGGTTTTATCTTACAGTTTTGCAACGACTTGAGATGCTGCCTCAACCACAGCACTGCTTATGTCTTGTTAGTCTACTTTCCTATTAAATTTGTATGTAGATTTTTAGTCAATGTAGGTTTCTTTTCAGACTCATCAAATTTGAATTTTGCTCAAAGAAAGTTTCTCATCATGCTTTTCCAAAGAATTATAGATGTGTATGCGATAAAAACCAACCACTTTTTACCCGCAATGTAATATGTATATCTTTCCCTCTGAATAGTGGTCCAGAGGAGAGCTCATGGTAGCTCCTTCGCACATCGCGGTGAACTGCGTCAGGCCAAAAGGATCGTGGTCAAGCTCGGCAGTGCCGTGGTCACCCGTGGTGATGAATGTGGCCTGGCTCTGGGGAGGCTGGCCTCCATTGTAGAGCAGGTGAGAGGCCAAGTGGAAGCACAGACAGTATACTATTGAAGTGTAAATAACTCCAGGGGTATTTACAGAGTTCTTGACGGGTAGGAAAGTCAACAGAGAATACAAGCTTACGATGCTGCCTGGTTAAGTTCCGTGATGTGTGAACTTATAAGTGGGTCAATTGTAGTTTATATATAAGGACGTTTATGGAACCCAGCTCACTGATTTAGATACCCTTGTTCATTATGTAATTCCTTTTTTAGCTTGGTTCAACAAATCTATATTAATAGCCTCACGTACCTGATTCTACTTCACTTACTATCCATGAGATGTTTTAGCCAGCTGTTACATTAACAATTAGAGAGAAAAAAATCGTCAAACAGCCCTCAAAACTATGAACAATGCAATTTAATTAAACACAGTAAACATTTGGGATGGATCATTAAAATGAATGAATGACAACTATTGTTAGTTTAGTGAGTGAGTGTTTTTGTGCTTTGGTTATCATAGTTAGTTTCAGACTGATTGTTTAGTTTTTATCTCATCCAAAATTTATGTTTTCACTGATTATTAAGTACTCTACAGCAACATCAAGAAACAGCATCCTCCTCATTTTGGATTATCTGTCAAATGTACATAGTTCGAATATGTCTGAATGTTTCCTTGGTAGAAAGTAGCTTCAATAAGAAATACCATGTGCGTTATATATAGGTTTACATGTTTATAACTATTTAATATTAACTTTAAGCATAGAAAAGAGATTCCACCAGACCATTTTATAATGGCAGGTGTCTTAGGGACATGTATCTAAAGATAGGGGCATGCAAGACCATCTTTGGGGGGTAGGGGGTGTGAACCTGTTTTTGAAAAGCTTCAAACAAACGACCAGAATTCTTTGAACTCAGCCGTGTACGAGTCCTAATTGGGTGAACTGTTGTCCAGGTGGCCATGCTGCAGAACCAAGGCAGGGAGATGTTGATTGTCACCAGTGGAGCTGTGGCCTTTGGCAAACAAAGATTAAGACATGAGATCCTGCTGTCCCAGAGTGTCAGACAGGCACTGCACTCAGGACACAACCAACTCAAAGACATGGTAAGGAAAGGTGGAGGTAAAGTAGAAAACAGCGCCAAGACACATAAAGAAGTTGTTTCTTCTACTTTCTTTAGTTGGAAACTTCTTCATCATTTAGTTTTTTTTTTACCCAACCTAGCCTTCATCGCAGTGCTGTTCTGATAATCTTTCCAGTTTAACCACAAGGGTGTTACTCTACATATAATTAATGGTGAAAGTGAGGAAGTAGCATTCAGCTTGTTTGACACCTGGTCCATCTATCAAAAGATATTTGCCCTTTAAATAAAAAAGCTTTGTCTTTTTCAATTGATGTTAATCCTATTTTTCTAAAAATGTCCCTGTGCTGCTTTGGTACCGTGGATGTTATCCCATCTTATCCCTATCTTTCAGGATTATAAACTCAAGTTAGATATTGCTGGTTGCAAAAGCAAACAAACTCAACAGTTGCACCATGTGCTACTGTGCAGTGCATTCAGATTGATGCACTTACTAGTGATATCTACTGTATTTGTGTTGCAGTCTTTACCGGTGCTGGAGGCTCGAGCCTGTGCTGCAGCTGGACAAAGTGGTCTTATGGCCCTGTATGAGGCCATGTTCACCCAGTACAGCACTTGCACTGCACAGGTAGTTACATACTTTGGAGCAAAATATTAAAAACTGTATGATACATGCCTAGGAACAGATTCAATTCTCCCGATCACTGCTCTGGCTTAACCATCTTCCTGCTCTCTTCAGGTCCTGGTGACAAATCTCGATTTCCATGATGACGAAAAGAGGCAGAACCTGAGCAGCACTCTGCAGGAGCTGCTGCGCATGAATATCGTCCCCATCATCAACACCAACGACGCTGTGGTGCCCCCACCGGAGCCCAACAGCGACCTGCAGGGGGTAAATGTGGGTACAGACTTTAAGGGAGGGGTGAGGCTTGTAGGGGTGATGGTGGCAGTGGCAGCAGAGGGCTGGGAGGAACAGAGTTTAGTTTCAACCGCACACATATTAAAACATCTCTGCCACCCTGCCTCACCTCATCAGCTCTGCCCTTAACCATAAAGGCATGTGCATGCCGATGAATGGAGAGGAGGCGCTGTAACAACTGGGCTGGACTAACTCTTGTATGGAGACGTCTCCTCTACCTGTTCAACTGCAGAATTAACTAACTCTCCTAACTCTTGGAGATAATTCCAATCAACTCTCACACCTGCACACTAATATGCTGGGAGCACAACCAGCTCTTACCATCACTAATACTACCATCACTTAACTGTTACAAATATAAGAATATACCTACTGGGTATGACATTGCCTTAAAGCAAATGGAAAAACTCTGAGATTGTAGAAAATAAATTCTGTTTATATGTTAAACACTAATCTGTGAACACCAATGGGCTTAATTAAGTACTTTATCTGAGGTAGAATCATCTCATTTACTTTGCATTAGCATGTAAGATGGAAATTTGGGTGAGTGATTTTTCTCTCAATCAAAATTTATCTTTGCAAAGTCATGGCATAGTATGCCAAAAGATTCGGCTCGGCTTGCCTCGAGCCTTCGAGAAAAGACTGAAGTGGCAGAGGCTGACATCCTGCCCCTGGTTCGAGGCATTGAAGGGCTTACATCAACATCTTTCTGCTCCTGTAGGTGATCAGCATTAAGGACAATGACAGTCTGGCAGCGCGGCTCGCCGTCGAGATGAAGGCTGACCTGCTCATCGCGCTGTCTGACGTGGAAGGTATGTGTGTTACCACAACAACAGTCTGGGTCAGCTGTTAGGTAACAACACCATCTGTCTGCGCTCCTCACTGGGAGAAAAACACACTCCTCTCAGGGTCAGTAAAGAGTCACATGAGGGAGACAAACACCAACCTTCCTCCTTCAGCTTTGACATTGAAGATGATGGGGTTGTAGGAAGTGCGTGTTGGCATAAAGTGTGTCAATATTAGTTAATTTTAATCACCAGCAAGCAGATTACTTAAGGGAACCGGAGGGTGACTGTCATATTAGGCTACCGTTTGTATAAGCAAAGTGTGTGCGTTGCATTTAAGAAACTATTTATGAAGGAATTCTTATTCCTCAGGACTTTACAACAGTCCCCCTGGAACAGATGATGCAAAGCTCATTGACATCTTCTATCCTGGAGACCAACAATCAATCACTTACGGAACAAAGTCCAGAGTGGGGCTTGGTGGAATGGAGGCCAAGGTATGTGGAGACCCCCCTGAGTCACTTTGTTAAAAGTTTTTTCAGTCTCAATCAAATAACACACAACCATATGCAATAAATAATCTTCAGTAGCACTTATAAAACATCCTGTGATTGAATCAGCTGTATTCCTGCAGAAGGACTTAAACTTCTACATTTCTACAAGTTTGATGAATATCAAAACTTTGTATTAAGATGATTCTGAGTACCTTTTGTCATTGACATCCTTACGACTATGACTTTGCTGAAATTCTCTGCATATTAGCCAAGTGTTCTTCTTGCTGAAGTTGTGGTTTTCTGACAGCTATTCTGACAAAAGCAAGGACTCAAAGTGCAGACTTTGCAGAGACCTGTTTTAAGCTCTGAGTGACTGTCTGTATTTTTCTACAGGTCAAGGCAGCTCTCTGGGCTCTTCAAGGGGGCACCTCAGTAGTCATCGCAAACGGCACCAACCCCAAAGTGACAGGGCACGTCATTACTGACATCGTGGAGGGCAAGAAGGTTGGAACTTTCTTTTCCGAGATCAAACCGGCAGGTCAGTTCACTTCGGCTCTCTCTTCACCTCCTCTCACATGAGTGTAATTATAGTTATACGGCAGCTTCAGCTCCACATTTCCTTAATTGCCAATTTCTCACTGGCTCGACTACATCAGTCCTGCACTGCATCATACCATGAGAAAAGTAACAATAATTAGTTTTACTTTAGAGCCTAATTAACTGAAAAATAAGATTACATCAAGTAAAGTCTGTTTTTCCCCTGACCCTTCACCAGGACCGACTGTAGAGCAGCAGACGGAAATGGCACGAAACTCTGGAAGGACCCTGGCATCTCTGCACCCAGAGCAGGTGACACATCTTTTTAAAGCATGAAAAAATGTCAGTTTTTGAATCTGGAGAAGATGATCAAATCAATATGTAAGTTTAGATCCCGAGCTTGCCTTTATTGGGTGTAGGGAAACACTGACCCCATGTGGATAATTTTGCAATGTGCTCATCTTACTTGTCGTCTGTGTTTGCAGAGAAGTGAGATAATCTGCCATCTCGCAGAGCTGTTGACTGAAAGGAAGGAGGAAATTCTGGCTGCCAACAAGATGGACATGGATATGGCTGTAAATGCAGGTAAAAGAGAACCAGTAGATTTCTCTTAAACATGGATTAGCCTAAAATACTGTTTTTCTCAATGTTGCAATTCAAACTTGCCTTGGGTATGATTTTTAGTTCCTCTCAGTGTAAATCTACCACCAGAGGGCATCTCTGTTACCTTCCCACCTTTAGTTACTGAAAACTCGCCATCATAAACCTACACACCTTCCCTTCTTTCTTTCTCCAGGCCACATGCCACAAGCCATGGTGAAGCGTCTAAGCTTGTCACCATCCAAACTCAACAGCTTGGCTATAGGTCTGCGCCAGATTGCAGTGGCTGCTCAGGACAGCGTGGGTCGGGTTCTTCGCAGAACAAGGGTGGCTCATAACCTGGAGCTGGAGCAGATCACTGTGCCAATTGGAGTTCTTCTGGTCATCTTTGAGGCCAGACCTGACTGCCTGCCCCAGGTATCCAGGCAGAGCTGCTGCAACACAAGCAGACACAAGCAGCAGTTTTATTTCTAGAAATTTGGGGATTTTTTTGTTGTTGTTTGAAGATTAGTTTGAATGAATGAACGCACAAATAAAGATCTCTCCAAATAATGTTTAGTTCAGCAAAAATATAAAGACTTACTAGCATTTTTTTTCACATTTTAACTTTTCAAGCTTTTTAGAAATAACTGTAGTAATGTCCAAATACCTGTGTGTTTTCCTCCAGGTGGCAGCATTGGCCATTGCCAGTGGCAACGCTCTCCTCCTAAAGGGTGGCAAAGAGGCAACCAACACCAACCGTGTCCTCCACCGGCTTACCCAGGAGGCCCTGTCCATGCATGGAGTCACAGACGCTGTGCAGCTGGTAAAGAAAACAATTAAAGATGACTGCACTCTAATAAGAAGGCAACACTAACCTTCTTCATAGCTCCTTTCAAAGGGGATTTAGACATCCGGGTGAAACAAGATCTGTCAAGCTTGAACTGTGCGTACTCTAATCTGCTGTGGCTGACAAACCTGTCTCTCTTCTTACAAGGTGAGCACTCGGGAGGAAGTGGAGGATCTCTGCCGACTGGACAAGATGATCGACTTGATTATCCCTCGAGGTTCATCCCAGCTGGTGCGGGATATTCAGCGGGCAGCGAAGGGCATCCCTGTGATGGGTCACAGCGAGGGAATATGCCACGTCTACGTTGATGCAGACGCCAGCATCGACAAAGTCATCAAAATTGGTCAGCATACTGAAATGTTTATTCGAGGTTCTTCACACACTGACAGTATATTGTATGAACAAATGACCGTAACTAATTTATATACCCTGTTTTATACAATTGTGGCTAATTATCTTGGTTAGTAATTGGCTCATTTTTCCCTGCTCCAGTTAGAGACTCCAAGTGTGACTACCCAGCTGCCTGTAATGCCATGGAAACCCTGCTGATTCACAGAGACATCCTCAGAACTCCACTGTTTGACCAAATCATTGACATGCTGCGCACGGAGCGGGTAAAGTGTCAAATGCACAGACGATAATAACTCCTCAAAAACTTATTCCTTATGTGAAACCGTATCATTGTCTCAAATTCATCAAACATTCATCTAATGAAAGAAATATGAGAGGATTTGTGCTCTTATTTATCTCTTTGAATGTGTACGACCACCAGGTGAAGATTCATGCAGGCCCTCGTTTTGCCTCCTACCTGACCTTCAGCCCATCTGAGGCAAAGTCTCTGCGGACAGAATACGGGGACCTGGAGTGCTGCATGGAGGTGGTGGACAGCATGCAGGAGGCCGTGGATCATATCCACAAGTATGGCAGCTCCCACACAGACGTCATCGTCACAGAAAACGGTAGGTGGCCTCATACTCCAGTGCCATCTCTCTGCCTCATTTTTTGTTAAATACCTTTCACATATTTGCATTTTAAAAGGGCAAAGTCTAGACTTCAAAGAAATCTCTCATTACCACACTTAAATTAAACCTCTTCACAGATCAGACACTGAACCTCACCACACAGTGCTCTAACAGCAACGTTCAGTCCTGGTCGGTGTTGTCCTGCTTTTTGCTTCTGTCTGGTACTCATCAAGTTTCTGGTTCCTCCTCCTTTCATTCCTTTTTCCACATCCATCTAACTTTCGGCCATGGTGACTAATGAGCAGTGACACTTTGTTGTCAGGATGAGTGCACAGCCTCCCTGTGTGACTCAAACCGAGGGGACAGAGCCTGATTTCAAATGGAGAGCATATGCTAAAACACACTTTAAAGGACTTGTCACGTCATAGCTTTGGGTCACGCTTAAACATATTTCTCTCTTTCAAATGAGCCATCACACTGAACCTCACCAACTCATGCTGACAGAAACCGTTCTACTCTGTCTCCAGAGGATTTGATCATGGTCGCTGCTTAAGACTAACAAACCATCCTTTTTAGAAAACATTCATTTAGCAGCCAGTTTTTAACCCGAGATATTTCATGAACATCTGAGAAACATTTTTAAAATGTTTTCAGCAGGCAGAAATAACATTACATACAACATGGATGGACTGCAACAAAGAAACCCTGATCTCTTTAAAATGCAGACTTAAAAGAAAGATGGTCTTCATACTTTCATACGAGGAGCAATTTTCAAAATATGCAAGACAAAGTATATTGATTACCTTTTTACATGAGGATTGTTTTCCCCTGCAGTGGAGGATGTGCTGCCATCTAGTGGTTACAGAAGGTATCCCATGAATGACGGGTTAAAAAACATAGATAGATAGATAGATAGATAGATAGATAGATAGATAGATAGATAGATAGATATGGATTTAGAGTTAAAAGGTAGAGAGAATATCTGTACAGACATGCCCATTGATTAACTAATTCATTTAGAGAGCCAAATGTATATTTTTAAGTGACCATTTAACACGCTGACTATAATTTGAAAGCATTTTGATAACCCAGATTTTCCTTTTGATGCCACTTGGAGCTCTAGACTTTAAGATATAATCCTATCCAAGCTCCTGTAACTGATAGGGAACATGTTTTGGGGTAACAGTTCACATGTCACACAGTTAAAGAGCTCATGACTCCGGGTGTGTACTACAGATGTTTCAGCAGCAGTAATGAATATAAATGAAATGCTCAGAACTGAAGACACATTTTTACTTTAGGCAAAGACATGTGATAAATTTAATCTCTTTCTTGCAGAGGACACAGCAGAGCACTTTTTGCAGCAGCTGGACAGCGCCTGTGTTTTCTGGAACGCAAGCTCACGTTTTGCTGATGGCTATCGCTTTGGACTTGGTATGCTGCCGTCTCATTTTCACAAGAGTTCACATTCTCATCTTGTATCATTTTTTAATATTTTCACGATTGCTGTCTGTCTGACAATGTGCTTGATACCGAGTACATGGTTCTCACTTGCTTTTTTCTCTGTCTGTCTTTGTCTTCAGGTGCAGAAGTAGGAATTAGCACGGCCCGTATCCACGCCCGGGGCCCTGTCGGCCTGGAGGGGCTGCTCACTACAAAGTGGGTTCTGAGAGGTGATGGGCATACAGCAGCTGACTTCTCTGAGCATGGTACAATGAAGTACCTCCATGAAAGCCTACCTGTTGGGCAGCCTCTTGCAGGGCAGAGGGACAGCAACTAGACTAGAGAGGAAACTGAAGACTGACACGGTCTCAACCATGGTCAGACCAAAAGTTCCCAAGGGGTTACTTTGTAGGTTGTTGCTCAAGTCAGTGTTTAAAACCTAAGAAGCACACAGCATGGAGAGAGACACATCAATGGTCCGATTTATCAGCACAACCAGAAAGCTCTCATAAATCCAGACTGAAATTTCCAGAATTAAGAGTTTACATGTGTTTTAGATTCTACCTCAGGCTATACTACTTTAATGCAAGTACGGTAAGTCACCCTTATAACCTCCTGAAAGAGGTTCACAACATGAAATACCTCCATGGACATTCATTAATCCATCTAGGTGTTACTTTCTTTAAGACAAAGAAAATGCAAATGCTGGTTTTTAAAATGCAGTCTCAGGACTGTAGTTCATAAAATATTATTGATTCATTTGATTAAATGCAAATATAAAAAAATACAGTCAAAATATTCTTGACCACAACTGTTTATGTATTTAACTAGAAAATTTTGCACAGAGCTCTTCATAATGTACAGGTATCTCTCAAATAAGCACACAGTCTTGAAGTGATGAGTAATGACTATTATCATCTGGTGCTCTCTGTTTATTTGACAACATCTTTTATTTTTCTTGCTAGCACAGACGGTTAGGTTTTCTGCATATTTATGGATCTACAGCTAATTTAAAAAGACGGGTGCTGGAATAGGACATTTTAGACATGGATTAAAAATCATCAAATTCGGTTTTAGGTTGTATAAATCTAACTCAAACAAGCTCAGGTTACCGGTTACCAGATCGTAACTTCATTAATCTGAAGTATGACCAACATACATTCATCACACAGCAATAGAAGCTCAAACTCACTACACGTGATAAGCATCCGTTTTATTTACCATGTTTTATTTGTTTGATCATTCGTACATGTTGTTCTTATTTTTCCATGCTTTGCTGCTTCCCTGCTTGTTCCTCATGGCGCCCAAAGCCTCTGTCAGAGCAGGAACAGTAATTGACAAGCTGCCTCCTTCAAGCTGGAGGGGAGAGCGCAACTGTTTTTAAATGAAGCTTTGTAACATTCCAGCCTCTGAGCTCTTATCTGATGTCTTGCAATGCAACACTTAAGGACTGGTATGAGCTGTTTAATAGCACTACTGTAGAATAAAAAAAGGGTTGAAAGATTTTTTTGGGGATATTTCTCCTATCTTCTTTGATTTTTACAGTTGAAATGTTGAGGATTTTTACACACAGATTCATCTCTGTCCTGGCGCTAGTGTTTCTACTTTCACAAAGAACACAAATTAACGGGGAAAAAAGTCGCACTGATCTGAAAAACAGATGTCTAAAAAGGGCCTTTTTAAAGTTGCCCATAGGGGAATTCGCATTGCTGGAAGTGGGGCAAGTAAGATGGAAGACAATACTATAGAGGTTTAATTATCCAGCCATCAGAAATGAAAAGAGGGAGAAGTAGTACTGAGACTAATAATGGAATCACAGGCTTGTGTTCTCGGTTTCTCTGTTTCTTTCGTTTTCTCTCTCTCTTTTCTTGCATCTAAAGAATTCATTCTCCAAAACGCACTACTTACCCTTCAATCAGCCTCCCATCACCAAGTCCAAAGGGTTCAGAGATAAAGAGGGAGACAAAACTCGGATCTCACTCTTCTGTCCTTTTTATGTGTGAAGCGATTGAAAATATATGAACGACTTGAGGTAGAAAGGGAACAATCCAGGGACTCTGAGTATCGTCTGTTTGATGCAGGGTTTTATAACGTTGTATTTCTCAATATTATATGCATCAAAGTTGTTTGTTACACTGAAAGCATATATTCAAAGGTAAGAATTTATACCAGCAAGTGTTTTAGCTGCACCTGTCTAGATAAGCAATAACAGGACACTGAGGAGTGCTGTTGTGAAATGGAGGACTTGCATCGCTGGGATGCAGACCAAAGATTTCCTATTATTCCAAAACTGAGAAGTTGATTTCTAATCAAACTGATCATCGCTTGGCAGTAAAGTAGTAGTAGTAGCAGTATTCCTAGTAGTATTAGTGAAGTATTTCTAATGCATTTTATACTTAATATTTCAACCTTACTAAACACCCAGCAGTGTTGAATGCTTAAATCTAAGAGGCATTAAATCTTTGACCACTGTCTTCAATCCCGTACAGCAAGGGCAATGCCAAGGACAACCAGGCCATCAGTAGGCTACATGCCACATCAAAATAATTACCAAGAGGAGTGTGGCGTATTAGACACGTTTACATGGGCAACATTTCTTGATCCGATTAAAAATGTGAGGGATCGGATAATCTGAATCCACTGTTTGTATGGGTGCCAAATCAAATAATCCGATCATGACGTGGTATACATGCACCAAGTTTTATTCAGATTAGAAGCATTTGGACATGCGCAGAGTTGTCTGATTTCAATAGAAGACCGCAGAAGAAGAGTTATATTTACGCCTGTGCTGTTAACAAACCAACAAACGCAGTAGTGGCCCACTCCATCCACTTCAGGAGTTTTCCCTCTGTTAAATGTTGTCACTAGATGGCGCCCTCGCGTACTTATTCGACCGTTCTGTCAAAGGTTGCACTGTGCGTGCGGATGTGACATCATTACGCTGTATGTACGCCTTGTCACGTTACCGGAGGAGCAGAGACGATTTATGCGATTGTGTTTTATGCCAGAGTGTTAATAATGAAACCCCCTGTACTGGCCTCAATAAATAAGCCAAAGGCTAAAGAGTGAAGATCGAGTCAGGTAAGAGAGTAACGATCAGAATAAGTGTTTACATGGACGCGTTCCGCAATAATGACCGGCATAAACCTTCCCTCTTGATCGGAATATAATTTCTTTCCGATTGAGCTGAATTTGATCAGAATCCTCCGATCGATTGAAATGACGCAATTTTATTCCGATCGGTCATTTATTCCTATTATTTATGCCCATGTAAACGCAGCTATTGTGTGTATTACTGCCCTTCTTCCTGTTCACAGTGTGGCAAAACCATTAGTTTCTGATGATTACTTTCAAAATATTTTTTTAGGGTTAGGGTTAGACCGATAAGGTAGACACATATCTTTAACTGAAATGAAAATATGAAGTTTAATGTCGATTGGATCTGCAGGTATGTCGATAAGAATATGAGAGTGACGCCAACCATCAAATTTAAGGGCTTGTTATCTTCGCCTCCATTAATTAGTTTTACATCATTAAAATTATCCTTAAATGTTTCTTTGATTGGATGTCCACCTGAATGTCATCATCTGTTTGGAAACCAAATCTACCCACAGATAAAGTAACCTTAACATTTCACAGGGGTGATGATACCAAATGTGGCGGACAACAGGGAATTTACTCTTCATTCTCATATATACAGATATTTTAGCTCTATGCAATCTTTGTAAAACTACATTAAGTGAAATTTTCAAGAGCATACTTCTTAAAGTTGGTTGATGTTTTGGGCACCTGCTCCTTTTTGCCCACAGATTAACTTACACTTGAGGTTTAGACCTGTCAGCCTTTAAATCTCCTCTCTTCTCTGACATTGCCCCCAGACCCCAGCTGATCAGCTCTCATTTTGCACCCTGTTGATGTTGTGCTGTCTGCTGGGTATTGTTGTCCACGCATATAAAAAAGGATGATGAGGGCAAATAACTGGACTTGTGCAGCAAAGCTGACAGTTCTTTAATTGGACATTACTCAAGGCCAAAACTCATACTTCTTGTTGTGCTTGATCTTAAGAGACTCTCAAATGCACTCCCTGCTGGGCTTCAAATTTTTTTGAATCAATAATTAATGGTCAAAGTTATTTATTCATGTGTATCTTCGCCAATTACGCAGCGTCTAATTAACAATTTCAATAATTGATATTTGTTTCTGAAAGGGTTCAGTATCTTGGGCTGATGAAAAATGCATGAGCAGGGATGTGGACTGGGTTGTGTTTTTTGTTCTGAGAGAGCTTGATGCTCGGGGCTAATACCAGGCCACTTTGACTCCGACTCTTTGAGTTGGCACTGGCCCTGTGATGTGGATCTAATATGGGCATCTTTCATGGACCCAACGCGCTTACTCTGAACCATGTGATCTCATAAAGACTCCTACATGCCCATCCTCAGATACCCTTTTCTCTAGCCTTTAATATCGAACTTCAAAGAATAAGCTTCTGTTTCCTTAATAATTTTTCTTTGTGTATGTGGAATGACAATATCTCAGCAAACTGTAGAAACTCTTGGTCTTACTGGGACCTCATGGGTTACACGTCTACATGTTACTGTGGTCTGATGAAACCAAAGTTAAATCACCATAATAAAGAGAAAAATATTCTTTAGATTTATGAAAAGCCATATCCCCTGATCTTTTAACAGTGACAGCTGTAGCAGTCAATAGAAAATTAACAAAGGCTCCCTTTAGTTGACTTTCATCAAGTTTTCTTTTATTATGATTCCAGTAGGACAGGAAGTTGGGGACCGGCAGGGCAAATCATTTTGCTATGGGACGACCAAAGCAAAAAATTTTTTACTGTGAGCTTTGCTTGAGCACCGAGTTGTAACTCTACCCAAGTGTGCAAAGTAACCCAACAAAACCAGAACCCAACATGACACACAACAAAACTCCCATTATTAAAATGTAGATTTCAGGTTTAGACATGATACTGTTGAGAGAGTGCAGACATAATAAGAACATGAGGGTTGAGAGTTGAAAACTGAGGCTTAATAAGGGCTAAAAAAAGGTGAAGATCAGTTGGCTTCAGTGACACGTCTCAGAGACCCAATGGTAGGAGTGGTGCTGCCCCACTCACTGTGCCTCCTGTACTCTCCGGGGCGCAAGAAGTACTGGCGTCCCCTGTAATTTGGGTGTTCATGCAGCATCCAGTAGCCCTCCATGACATTGACAGAGGAGATGTCGCGGGTGTGGTAACGCTCGTTCAGATCTGGGCAGTCTTCCATTACCTCTATATTCTGGCCTCCAAAATCAGATCGCTCAAAGATCTTCATCCTGTAGTTCCCATTGTACTACGAAAGACATGACGGGAATAAAAACGATATTAGTAATCTATCAGAAACACCCAAATTTATCCAATGATCCAGTCTTGATGTTTTTTCGGCCTCTTGAAAGCTACATTTTTAGGTTAAGCCAAAAAGACATTTTTTAATGGTGGTAGCTCAAACTGTAGGACTAGGATCATGTTATAGCTGATTCCACACTGGCTCTTCAGCAGGAACCTTTTGATAGCATTGGTTCAAACAGGTTAGAGTCTGGCTTTAAACTTACAGGAGGCACCATACGGCAGGAGCGGATACAGTCATTAAAGCCTGCCCAGCGTTGGTAGTCAGGATATTCGCCCTTGTGCAGCATGTACTGGTAGCCGCTGTAATTGGGCTTCTCGTAGGCCACCCAACAACCGCTCTCAACTCGTATCGAGTTACAGCGGCTGAAGTGGTCTTGCATCTCAGGACAGTCACTATTGCACTCGTAGTGACGGCCTTGAAAATTCCTGTCTTCGTAGAAGATAATCTGCACACGATGGTAGACATCATCAGCAACACAAGACAAATTTAAACACAGCTAATACACTTTATATACATATATTGATAAGTTCTGCTGTTTTCAGAAAATTTAACAGTGATTATTTTTAAAAAAGTCGGTATAAATTTAATGTAATTTGGAATTTTAAGCAAGAGATTGCACCGTCTATGTCAGAGTAATTTAAAGTGGATGATTGTAGATTAACTAACCATAAAATAAGGCAGAAATGTTTTCAGTTATCAACAAAATGAAAAATTTATATATAAAAATATACAGTATGGTGAGTAATATACTTTCTGAAGATGAAAACTCTTGGTTTGCTGCTTTGAGAAGTATGAAGACTTCTTGATCGGTTGACTTTTTTTGACTATTGTGGACAATAGACAAAGGCCTGTTTTTAAAAAAAAAAAAAAAGTATGCTCTATTTTGGAGCTTTTATTTTGTGTGCTTATCTGTAGTTAGTAAGTCTTTACATTTTCAAGCTTTTAAAACCCTTGGTGTTATGGTTACACGGCTCAAAAACTAACTTATTTTGTTGAAGGTCGAAGACTTTTTTTTTGTTGTTTTTTTGGCAGAACTAATGTGTGGATTTGTTTTTTCAATTTAAGGACTATTGATGTAGAAAATGCACACCTTAACTTTAAATTTCTTTTGTTATATAGATTTTAAATTTGCATGCTTACCTTGCCCATTGTAACTGTGTAAACTTCAGACCAGACCAGATGGTGGGCTGTATTAGACCTCTTTATAGACCTGCTAGGATCAGGGCTTTGCAAATGTGAAACAAAGCTTCGACGTGTCAGCACAGCAAGCTCTATAGACTGCAGAACACTATAGGACTGGTAAGCTGCTGCAGCCTCTTTGTCTCTGTCAAAGCTCCTGCTGTCTATGGAAAAAAAGTGTACTACTGCACTTTCTCATAGGGCTACAATAAGAGTTGCAACATCTGCCTTTATTGGCATGAATGCCAGAAACCTAAACACGGATTGTGAGGATTAGCAGGAAACTAAATGGTTCAGCTTGAATCAACAAGCGATTGAAAATGATATAAACCATAAATGACAGATCACTATACAGCTGCAGGATTTCATTATGTGAAGCAACTGTGCTACTTGATTCAGGAGTTTTGTTTCAAAGTTACACAAATTTGTATATGCGACTTAAGTTTGTTCAAATAACCTCACGAAAACATCTCAAATTTCAAAATAAAACATTTAATGTTTATTTAAGATCTGCAAAAGTGGACTTTACAGAGTGAGCGTCCTCATCCTCCTGAAAGAGCCCACATTAGGGTTGTGACAGCCCCAATCACCGCAGGCCCTATACTCTCCGGGGCGCAGGATATATTGGCGACCCTTGTAGTTCGGGTGCTCGTAGAAGATCCAGAAACCCTCCATGACGTTACAGGAGTAAACGTCAGGGGTGCGGAAACGCTCGAGCACGTTGGGACAGTCTTCTGTGAACTCCATTGTCTGTCCCAACATATCAGGCCTGTTGAAGATCTTCATCTTGTAGGAACCTCTATACTGAATTTTAAAGAAACCAGAAAATCAGATTATTTTGTTGCTATGAACCTAAGGAAACGCTTTGATTTAGCTTTCTAACACAAGCTGATGCCTTTAGCTTTAAGTGAGTGCTTGTACCACGGGCTTTTTAAAGCACACAACAACAGATGAGCTATAGCAACAACTCTCTCTCTGAGCCTGACAGATTCAGATTTTTTTTCCCACCCTATCTGCCAGAATCACTCAATGTGCCTTGTGGAATTAGAATGAAGGCACCGAGTCTTATGGGGAGTGTATCAAAATCCTTTTAAAGGCTGACTGGATCTCCTTGTGGGCCCAGCAAAAGAGACTTTTATTCTATGACCTGCCTGAGTATCTGTAAATGACATCAAAAGACCAATGACTGACATCCATTTCTAAAGCAGCATTTGAAGTACAAGGTGAGTGATAGGGGGGTGGGGTAACTACCAACCCTTTTGTCTTTTTTGAATGACTTACAGGGGAGAACATCTGGCAGGAGCGCACACAGTTGTTAAAGCCCATCCAGGTGCGGTGGTCAGGGTACTCGCCGGGGCCGAGGATGTACTGGTAGCCCGCGTAGTGAGGCTTCTCGTAGGCCACCCACTGACCACCGCTGACCCGGATGGAGTTGCAGCAGTTAAAGTGCTTGAAGGTGTCCATGCAGTCACTGCTGCACTCCCAGTGGCGGCCCTGGAAGTTGCGGCCTTCGTAGAAGATAATCTTTAGAAGGAGAGAGAGAGAGGTGGATCACTCACATTAATCTCTTACATACATATTTACAAATTGTAATGCTCCTGATTGGACTGTAGAGGACACTGTACTCCCTTGAACCAACTCAATTTCTTTGTCATGAGTCCTTTGAGTGAACAAGCCTCTCCAGTCCTCCGCACACTTTAATATTCCCATTGCTTAAAAGATGAAAATCAAGGAAACTCCACTTCTTGATATATGAAAATCAAGGCAACTGAGACATTTGCTTCAGCTGACTTTGGCTTACAGAACATGTGCTTTTCCAAACCGAATGCACTGTCAACTCAAAGGAGCCAGAGATTGTTTCAGCAGTAAATACTCTACAGTACTTCTGCCATTGTTTTTGTTAAAATCAACTAGTGCTTCTCTTTTTAGACACCCAAACACAGCGAGTAAGCTCTACGTTTGAGCAAATATTTCTACTCAAATAAGTTCTGTTGTTTCCTCTCTTCTCGTCCTGTCAGTTTAACACATTCCCAATCATCTAAGCTGTAACCATATAACATTTTGAAGCTCATACCTTTCCCATGGTCGCAGGGCTGTGGATGTTTAGCGCACCGTAGCCCGCACGCACTTACAGGTCCTTTTATACTCCCCCGTTGATGATGAGGCCTCTGGCACGTCAGGAACTACTACTCTTTACCTTTTCAGATGTCCTTTGTGTGACAGCCTACGGGGAACTTATCTCCAAACTGCTAGAGTTTACCTATAGAATTGACACCCTCCCGTCCCTAAAACAAATACCACACAAGTGCTATTCTATGTCTGTATGACCCTTGTTCCGCCATGACCTTGTGATGCAGCCTTTTGAAATGTCAGACAAAGGCTTTATAGGTATGTGGGCCTCCCTAACAACAAAGCCTTTAAATTGTACAGTGAGTTGGGTCAGTTTTTGGGAGACTCTTTTTAAGCTAGGATTGAATTTCATGTCTTTCTTGAGTGGAAAATTGTTCCTTTTCACTCCCATTTTAAGCGAGAGACTAGTGGTGCTTTCTTTAAGTGGTGCAGGTCAGACTATAAGCTGTTCGGTTTTCTGTTAAAGGAAAGTGGTTTTGATGCTGTGGACTGAGTCAAGCTTTTGTGTTGATGTAATCTACAGTGATTTGTTGTTTCTCTCTGCTTCCATGGCCTGCAGTGGTACTATGAAGCCAGACGGACTGCTATGTTTGCAGATGAACAGACAGAGCCGCTTAGTGTGTGTGTTGTGATATAAAAGTAAGAGTTTCGGGCATCTGTACATTTGAGTCTTTGTATAAAACGTTAGATGTAGGGACTTGAGTCTTTGGCTTGTAAGCATAGCCCAGAGCCGAAGGGGAAAAGGCCATAAAATGTTGCCGCCATATATCGCGTTCCCAAAGCCTAGCTGACGCCAGAAAGGTCAGTCTCATCCTTTAGCCTTTTATCACGATAAAGGGCTTGTTTCCCCCCTCTCCACTTTGTGTGCTTTTTACAGCTTCAACTGTGTAAAAAAGGCAAATGTTTTCAGAAAGCACAATAGCCATTATGTTTCTGGGCAAAAACACTGCTGCTCTGGTAGTCTACCCAGAGCAATATGACACTCTTTCAGTGTTAAGGAACAGCGCTGATAAGCTTTTGCTCCTTTGATCATTCATTGACTTGAAACTCTCATAGGCTTCAATAGCTTTCATGTTTGAAGCTGCACTCTTTTTCTATGACATAAGTAGATCATTGATATCCTTTCATCACAGTGTGCAGCGTAATTGTGGCAGATTATCAGATGGGATGTTGTTTTGTTTGGTGACTTTCTTTTCTTTCTTTCGTAAATGCTTACTTTTGGGAGGAAAGGTTTTTTATCACGATGTATAAGAAACAAATGTTTATGTTTCCTTCACAAGTTCATTGATCGATTGATATTCCTTTCATCGTGCTTATCAAATGTGCAATCTTTGTTCTCAGACTTGATGCAAGAGGGCAGAAGAGTGACAAGGAAATCGTACTTTGGCTTGAAATCACTTGTTCGAGCAAGCTTGTACGTGTCCAAGTTGTCATTCAACAGAACCTGTTACCTTTGCGTTAAGAGAAACATGCAAGAGAGGTACAACACAATGTCTAATCAGGAAAAAAAAATACATTGTTCTCATTTTAATCACCAAGGAACATCAGCTAACCCTAACTCATTAGTCGGGACCTCTGCTCCCTCCATATCTCTGTGGCTTCCAGGGGAACCTTGTTTCACAGGGTCTCAAATGATCATCTTTAGCTGTGCTACAAGACATCTCCTCCCCACCCTGAAGGGAAAGTAACATCACAGAGGCCCTTGCCTGCTTTCTCAGTTCCCCCTGGAGGAGAAGAAAGCTACCCGCTGTGGAGCATTCTACTCTTCATCTCAGAATGATGGAAGAAAAGGAAAGGGAGAAGGGAAACAGAGTGGGGGGCTCGATTTGCAGCTCCATTGTGTCCGAGGATCTCATTGTGCAATCCGTGCAAATCGCGTGGGAGATGACGACACCATTAGCCTGAAGAACGACTGTCAGTTGGGGACCTCTGTGATTGATGTGCACCCCACAGAGATAGGAGAAACTTTGACAGATAGCAACCCCAGCACTAGTTAACTTGCAACCTTTTTCATCTATCCAGCTTCCAAAAGAAAAACTCATTCCTGGAGCTGATACCTCATTAGAATGTGAATGTGCAATTTGCACAGTTGAACATATTTCGGGTCAGAGGAGACCTCTTTCAATTCAAAACAAATCATATCCTCTAATCCAAACCATGGTCTCTCTGACCCTGCTACATACAATAAGTCTCACCCCTAAAATGTTGTGGGGAGAGATAGGAGAGCAGCCTCGCTTGCAGTGCCTCCAATATGCTCTTTTACTGAACAGTCATTACAAAAACACTGTTGTACCAAGGTGTAAACAAGAGGTCTATGTGAGTTTTGCTCCTGAGAACTGGCTAATCTGGTGCTGAAAATGTGGTATGATCGGAAAGCGCTCGCCAAAAAGCCTCCCACGCTGGGAGTAGAATGAGGACCTCTCTTTTGCTGAGAGATCATCCTCTCCATTCTTTCTGTCGGAAAATCTCCAGGCGTCCTCCCTCTCTTGTCACTGCCAGCGCGCAGGCTCTATCGGGATTGCCAGACGCAGGAGCCACTATGAGCCTGTGCCAGGGCCAGGATTTACCGCGATGCCTCTGATGTGCTCCATCTTTTTGCTGGGGGATAATTAAAAGAGGAAATGGTGTTGGAAGAACAGAGTGGAAAAGCAGGAGGAGGGGGGCTTGGACCGAGCAAATGGATGCAGCTGTCAATTATGTTGAGTTGTTGATATGTTGTTTGTTTTGTCGTCTTTGAGATTTTGTGTCGAACTGTTTTCCGCGTCAGGATTTAGTTTTAAAGTTCGTGGAAAATCTCTGCTCCATACATATAATTATAAAAAAAACATTTAGGCTAATTAAGAAGTACTCTTAAAAATGAAATCACTACAAGATTTTGGTTAATTTCGATTTTCGCGGACCTGCAGGTGGTCATTTGGGTGATACTTTGATACTTTCTTTAGGATTCTGCTAACGGACACCAAACTACTGTCAACCCACCATTTCCTTTCTCGTAACTTTATTAGTTCCATATTTTAATTTACACTTCTATTGGAGAACCATTAAAAAATTTTAATGTTAATGTGTTTGTGTTGAGGAGGGAAAATGGCGTCTTAACATCTTCGAGTGTTGCGCAAACAGCTAGCTAAAGTCTCAAACATACTATTGATCGGGGATTTGGCTCCATGGTTAGTTTTAGAATTGACCGAGAGTGCTTTATGAAAACGTTGGGCCCTATATTTAATGTTTGACGGTTAATAGTGCGTTTAAATGTGTAGAGCAGGTTGGGGTCAAAGGAGAGATTTGTTAGTTGCTGATCCTCACAGGATTTTAACTACAGTGGACGACTTAAAGGCGAATTTTGTTAGAATATCCCATTTTAACTGTTCTTCTGTTGGTCTTGAGTTCAGGAATAAAAGTTGAACTCAGAAGTATTCTCAACAACCAATCTCCAGTTCATGATGGATTTTCTTCACGTCAGTCCAAGCTGTCTTTCAAGAAACCTGGACTGCTCAAATCACTCAAGCATCTCCCTTTATTTGACTAAATCCATTTGAGATGCTTCACCATACAGCATGACCCAAACTCAGTGCAAAGCAGGACAACTCCTTCGTCTCTCCGCAGACGCGCCTGGGGGAGTTATGGCTTCTTTTTGTTGCTCTCACTCCTCATCTCCACTCTCTGTTTTGACGTGGCGTGTCTCCCATGCCCCAAAGCTTTAAAGGTTTAAAGAGCAACTTTTCACCCTGTAATCCAGGTGCCTTTCAAACAAGTCACGCTGTTTACTGACACATGACAAAAAAGTTCAACCCCCCTCTCATCTCTCTGCTTACAACACTGTACCTCACCTCAGCGCCTGGTAGTCATTCCTCCAGAGCGCCCTGAACAAACAGAGCCTCGGCTAGAAAAGGGGCCCCTTGCCTTTCACCACTCGCTAAATTTGTAATCAGATGTGATGCTGTTGTTCACTTCTTCAAATTTGTCATCAAAGCAAATGTGTTCTGACAACAGCAAGTGACAAGTGCACCAGAGGAGAGGCAGAAAATCAGCTTTTTTTCTCACCACCTATCAATTATTGATCATGTCGCCCCTCCCCTCCCCTTCCCCCCACCCCGGCAAGTAGACACCTTGTGATAATGAAATACATCAATTTAAAAAATAAATAATAAAGCGGGGTCGGCTCCATTGTTGCAAAGCTTTAAGAGCGTGATTGACTGCCTGCACATTTTCCTCATTGGCAGTCAGGCAGATCAAAGGCGGGTTCTTCTTATTGCCCAAGGCCACTTGCAATTTATTTAGAGGAGCAGTGCTGCTGTCCCAGCAGGTAACATTATTGGGCAGAGATACTCAGGATAATCAGAGCTTTGAGGTACCTCTCAAATCCCACCTCTGCTGGCTCTGTCATGCATGCGCAAAAAATAGACGCATATGATTTACAAAAATCTTTCCTTTATTTGATGAAATTAAGGAATAAAAAGACGACATTATTGTCTTCGCATGGAGGGCTGAAAGGTAGCGGCCTTTCCGCCCAAAGTGTATCAGGTTACATTTGCTTTTTCCTCAAGATCCTTTTGATTTGTGGTTTTCTTTACATGTTTTAATATTACATTTTGTAATGTACTTTTTAGATGAAACAATATCCTCAGATTTTCACAAAGAGTTGAAGCTTTTCACGTAACAATCTGAGGCAGTGTTCATCTTTGAAATGACAGTATCGTCACAGGACAAAATGTTCATGATGATGCTCGATACGAAAAATGTTTTCTGAAAAGTATTAGGTTCAATAAATGTGACTGACTGAAGTGAGTCATCATTCGAGGGGATAAATACAGGCGAGAAAAAACAAGCGATGTTACCTTGTTACATTAGAGAACGAGTCAAGTTTTTAAATGAAGTATGTTGTTTGTAGTGAACGACACCTTAATAGTGTTACTTGGATCTTGGTGTTTCAAAGGCAACATAAATAATACAAAA